GTTCAGGTGCATCAGTAACAGTGAGTGACGTTCAGGTACATCTGTAACAGTGAGTGACATTCAGGTGCATCAGTAACAGTGAGTTACGTTCAGGTGCGACTGTGTTACTGACTATCCTTTAACTGTCAGTTAAAAGAGTCGAGGCAGGCAGTGAACAGCATCCGGCGGCTGGTGGAGGAAGACGATGATGAAGACGATGTGGAGAAGGTCAGCTGGAGTGGAGAGCCAGTTGGCAGTAAGACACTTACTTTGCTTGTTATTTATACCTGTGGAGAATCTTGAGCTGTGATTGGCTGCAGGATGGAGCCTGTCCTGATACCTGTCATACTTGTGTCCTCAGGTATCTCCTGGTCTGTCAAAGAAACAGCGGCGTCCAATCAGAGGACGGACAGAGAGCCTGCCTTCCCCAAAATCACCACAGACACGCCGTCGCTCAGCAAGAGCCAATCAGGATACTCCCTGAGCTCTCTGTTCAAAGGTGAGACAGGTGGACAGGTCACATGATTCAGACTGGATGGGAAGCCTGATCATGTGACTGACGGTTTAATGTGATTCTCTGCAGGAAAAACGAAAGGAGGAAACTTCCAGACCTTCACTGACAGTGAGTCTCATGACAGAGTGACAGTGAGTGAGTGAATGAATGAATGAATAAGGGAATGAGGAATACACTCAGAGACTGACTCATGTTTATGTGTTTTAGCGCTCAGTGACTCGTCTGTCAGGCTCTATGCACCTGAGCTCCGAAAACCCAAATCTGAATACAAGGTAATAGCAGTACTGGTAGTCAGATTACAGTTTACAGACTGTAATCAGATTACAGACTGTATCTGAATACAGTCTGTAAACCGATTACGATAATTTGTCTTTTTTTAAGAAGTATTTTCTGGTGTTTCAATAATGATGTCATTGTGTTGTGATGTCAGGATTATGTCAGTGATTGGTCGCCTGAAGAGACGATTCAGAGACTGCAGCAAGGAAAGGTAACCCTCCTTTGTTGTCTGCAGTACTTCAGGCCATGTTTCTGCAGTACTGCACAGTATTTCACTGCAGTATTCTGTGTATTTGTGTTCCAGACGGCGTCTCTGGAGAAGTTTCGGTCTCTGCAGGATAAACTCCTGCTGCTGGATTTCGCCGTCAGCGCTCATGATGGAAACGTCATTACTGCTGTAACTTTATTAACAATGTAACACAAAACAACTTCATGAATGTATAAACTTTATTAACAATTCGATGAACTGAGCACTGTTTGTTTTTCAGGTTTTAATTTATTTAAAAAGGACTCTAAGTAAAGGTGAGTCTGCTGCCCTGATCCTGGACCTGATTTTGAAGCACTGCTCCAGTGTTTTGGTGTCTGATTCTGTGTTTTGCTCCTCAGAGGTTTTGTTTCGGGAGCTGGAGTCCAGACAAACAGCTCTGAGACATTTCATCCACTACCTGACTGAGACCAAAGACCAGAGGCTGCTGCTGGAGCTGCTCAGGTCTGCTGCTCACACCTGATTCTCTGTGTGGTTTCATTCAGGTGATGCTCAGGGTTTATCTGGTGTGTTTACATTTGTTTTCTTCTTCTGTCTCTCAGAGCTCTGGGCAGGACAGAGGACATGGCGGTATGTAGTACGCAGTACTAGTACACTCTACTAACACAGCAGTAGTGCCCAGTAGTAGTACACATGAGGACTAACAGGATACTGATGTCATTTTCTCTCTGTTTCCATGGTGACAGCTGCTACAGTATAAAGAACATCTGGCCATTGCAGATGAAAACAAGAGGCGGGACTTCCTGAAGAGCTGCCTCAGGTGAGTAACACCTGCAGAACACGAGACTGATCTGAAGTCAGACTTCAGTTTGATTAAAGGAGACATTTTAACGGTAAATTAAAGTCCAATTTTATTTCATGTTGTTAGTTGAATTAAACGTTCTGTTTGATTTTTGTGTTTTCAAATGATGAATCGTTAGATCCCTAAAACCGCTGGTAATGTGATTACAGTTAGACTGTAGTTTACAGTTTATTGGTGATTTACTCTTAATGCTGATTGTTTTAACTGCCGGCTGTTTACAGTTTGTCAAGATTTGCTTCTTTGCTTTCAGCCTTCCGTTTTCTGCGGAGGACTCAGCTCATGTTCAGGATCACTACACGCTGCTGGAGAGACAGATCATCATCGAGGTCAGAAACTGGTTCAGTCTGGTTTATCCTGCCTTTAACCAGCTGTTGTTTCATTCTTTACATAAGTCTTATGATTCTGTCGATCACCTGTCAGCTAATTGGTAAAATTCCAGTTCTGTAATCTGCACTGCAAATAATGAGCCACTTTCTTCTTATTACTGATTTGCTAATCTACTGGTTGTTTGTTTACTAATCTACTGGTTGTTTGTCGATTCATTTTCTGTGAGCTGTGTTTAATCCCACCATCAGGCTCAGTTTAAATCCAATTTAATTTCAATTTTCCTTCTGTGCTGTTGCCAGGCGACAGACCGGCAGGCTGAGCGCGGAGGGAAGGTGGAAATCTTCCAGAAGTTTCCCCGACGAGCTTCAATCCTCAACATGCCGCTGGTCACGACGCTGTACTACTGCTGCTTCTACCACTACACCGAGCCAGAGGTTAGATTATCTGAACCAGGATGGACTGATTCGTTAAATCAGTTTTGGTGAAGCAGATTAGTCAAGCCAGCTTTGCAGAGTCGTTGAACCAGATTGATTAATCCAGTATTTGGTGTTTGCAGGGAACCTACAGCAGTCCGTTGAACATCCGTCAGACTTTCAAGGTGAGCTGAGATGTTTCATTTGACGCCGTTGAATTTTGAACTCTGAACCTCAAGGTCACTAACGACGGCTGACCTCTGACCTCAGATCTCGGAGAAGCAGTACTTTGTGACGGCGTTGGCGGCGAGGGCAAAGCTAAAGGCGTGGTTGGACGTAGACGCTCTGTTCACCAGCAGGAACTGGCTCGGCTTCACCAGGAAGAAATCTCCACTGAGCTTCCAACGAGTCGTCGACATCCTGCAGAAAAACTCTGCCCCCACACAGGTGAGGGGGCGGGGCCTAGCAGTAACATTACTCCACTGTAGGAGGGGGTGTTATTTATTAGTGTGCTATTGATTGTTGACCTCTGACAGGTGTGTTATTGATTACTGATAACCTTCAGGTGCTGCAAGACTACGTTGGGCTTGTCGACGACGCGGACCTGAGGATCAGTTTAGCTCAGAAACATAAATGTCACGACATCGTCATCAACGTGAGTTTTTTGCACTAAAGAAGCTGCTGATGTTAATTTGTTAAATCAGTCAAAGTCGTGCTCTTTGTGTGTTTGCTAATGATGGGATGGATCTGTAACCCCATCAGACGTACCGGGACATGAAGGACCGGCAGCTGTTGCTAGCATACAGGGGGAAGGTGGGGCGAGGTTCAGCGGAGGAGAGGAAGATCGACGAGCTGCTCAACAACCAGGTGAGGAGGAGGATGGACGTCTTTATCAACTGTATCATGTGACCTGACTGAAATGTGTTTTTTCTTCTCTTTTAGCAAATCCGCTGGAAAAACTGACAACACAACGCAGGCTCAGAGACTTTTGTTTCGAGACTAAAGTGAAGGTTTACAGTGTGAGAAGATCAGGACGACAGCAAAGTCCAGTCAGCTCACATCTGCTTCGGTCTCTTTGGTCGCTGAGAGGAGCGCTTCATGTGACTCCTCCCACAGAGCACAGGGCGGGTGGAGCTTATTTTTCCACCGAGTCACCGCCATGGCAACGTTGTGTTCTTGTTAAGTCATCGCTTCAGCATTCCTTAATAATCTGTCCCATGAACACGAACAATGAAAAGAATCAACAGAATATTGACCTCCGTCCAGAAAGCCAACAACAGCTAATTATTTCGATCTACACCAGAATGTGAAGAGTTCCTGCTGCACCCATACTCCACCTTTTCACCAAGTCTCGTGAAAACAGACACTGACAAACCAACAGACAGTAATGGAAGCATACGTCCGTGGTGGAGGTAAAAATGAGAACTGACATAACTGATGTGGTTTGAAAGGAGGAAGGACGAGAAGAGGAAGGAAGGGGCCATTCTACATCTGGGGTTACATTTCAAGTCTTCAAAAATATAATATTTGACCCGTGAAGGAAAAGCGTGGTCGTGTCACACAGTCTGTTCACCCTGTGTTTCATTTAACTTAAAATCTGGCATCATATTCCTGAAGTGACAGCTACACCCATGTCTGCATTTTCAGTCGACAACTCGTCTGTGTCAAAATAATCAATAAATACCATAAAACTCTGAACTCCAAGTAGTTTCTCTGCTTTTTTTAAGCTCCTGTAACATTTTTGCTCACTTTAGGCACATTTTTGATTTCAATATAAAGTCCTGCAGCTCTGTGGAAACAACACAACCGCAGATAATGAAGTCCAGAATAATAAAGTTGTGTTGCTGTAAATCATAAAAAAGAAAGAAAGAAAATGTTGAAATTCTTGAAAGGAGAAACGTTCCTCTTTAAATTGAGTTTCCTGTTTAAGTGAAGTAAATGACCAACTCTGCCAGTGGTGCTGAACTCTTACAGTCTTATCCAGGACTGTAAATGTGCCGCTGTGACGGAGTTTTAAAGGTGACTTTTAATTGTATATATATATAAATATACATATACAGTCATCCTCAAATGTATTCATAGCCTCCCATTAAAGAAGAAAAAAAACATCTGCTACTGAAATAAGTTGAGATTGACAAAAGTCATAATAAATAAAAATGTAATGAAAATCATGACATTGCTTTTGAATTGTGGTTCAACATAAATACATATATATAAAAAACAAGCAAACAAGCATGATGGGAAACTAACATTTAGTTGAACAACCCTTTGAGCCAAATCACTGCTATCAGGTGTTTTCTGTAGCTCTCAGTCAGACTCCTGCATCTGTTGACAGCTATATAGATTTTGGCCCAAACAATGTGGACTGTAATGTTCCAGCCAACATGCTGGATGTTTATCAGGAAGAACGTAGAGAAGAGAAGAAGTGAAGATGAGACGGTAAAGTGCACTACCACCTCTCACCACAAGATGGCGGACTGCTTTCTGCTTTTGCCTTCCTTTTGAATTTAATCAAATTTAATCAAACGTCACTGATCAACTACTTCTCCAGTTATGCGGCGTGCTTATGCTTGATCGATGAGAGTATTGATTATCAGTCGGGCTCCTGTCGGGCTGTGACTCACTGCTCATGCTCCCGGATGAGTGAATGAAAGTGACGAGATGATGAATTAAAGATAAAAATGAATAAGTGATGCTGATGTGTACGTGAGGAGGGCGAGGACCACGTGAACAGGGCTGCTCCGCGAGACGTCACGTTCATTGAGGAGCGGCGCGTGAAGGGAGACGGACGGAGCGCGAGACCCTGGGTGAGTGTTTACCTGTCAGAGGTACAAATCCTGCGATAGTACCGTTAGACATCATGTACCGGTACACAGGTCACAGTACTTTAAGTGTACTGTTAGAATATTATTACTGAGAGTGTTTAGTGAAGTCATCAGCCTGTAGTTTAATGTTACTGTGACTTCCAGGTGACACACAAAGTACACTGTGCTGCTCACTACAGTAACCTTACCTGTTATTGATGCTGAAATTATTAATCATGATGTTACTGATCAGGATGTTATTTATAAGATATTACTGAGTAGTAATCGTAGCTCAGACTGTGTGATGATTAGAATGATTAATATGATTGATTATTACAAATAGATCTGTTTTTGTAACTTCATAAAGCCACAAACTTACAATCAGTGAGGACGAGGTGATGGAGGAGAGAACAATGGGAACAATAACAGTGAAAGCTCATGAAATATTCAGTGAAGCGAATCGAAACACTGAATATTTCTGTCAAGAGTTCCAGCAACAGCATCACACTCTGAAGTCCTCCAGGACGCTGACTGTGTTAATGCAGTAGTGTCCTGATGATGGTAGTGTTTACTGTGATTCTGTCACAGGGGTTGTTGGGATTTTGATACATTCGGTTCACAGCTCAGAAATCTGTAGATTTTGACCTGATGATGCAGCACTTTCAGGTTGTCTCAGAGAGAGACTGTGCTCAAGCGACGTTAGATCATCCCATCATCACGCTCAGCCCATGTTTCACATTAACATCACAGCGAGCTGACATTTACATACGTGTGTTAAAGTGTCCATGTGGAAATAGTTGTTTTCGGAAACCTCATTTAATCTGGGTGAGTGATGCTTTAAATAGTTCAGCAGAAGAAATGCAGGTGCTGATGAGAGGAAAAAAAGTTTACCCACAAAGTCCTGTTACACAATAACCTAAATATCATCAGACCAAACCGGCTTTCTGTGTTGCCGACCAAAAAAACGTTGACCTTTCTGTCCATAACCAAATGGAAAACTAAAAAAAAAAAATCTCAAAACCCCAGCTAATTCAAATTCAGTTTTCTGGCTGGATTTTAGACAGATACCAATTGAAAAATTGCTCTGTGCATTTACTACAGTACAGATCTGAGGAACTTGTACTTGATTAGTTCCAATTCATAATGCGTTATGCTTTTACACCATTGACTAATCAGCTGTGGTTTAATTTCAATTAAGTATTGATAATAATTCCTATAAAATCATGTGAATCCCTCACTGATCACATTATGTTTATTACTCTGCATTATTTGTATATTACTTCAATTCTTTGAGTATATTTTGCAGCTTGTGAACTTTTACGACTTCATCAATATTCTTATATTTTCTCCTCGACATCCATAAAGAACTTGATTAAAATGACGATACACACCTTCCTGTGGTGGTGTGATAACAGCTACATACGGACGAACATATTTTTGTAAAGATACTTCTACAAATCACACGATCTGGGTTACAGAAATATTTCTGAATTTCTCTGAATATTTTTGAACATACAATCAGAAAACAGTTTAAACTGTCGTTGATTTATTGGCTTCATGTGTGAACTGATCAGTGATCAATAAGGTTGAACCGGTTTGTCTGCGTTCATCGCAATTAATGTTGCGGCTGTCAACGATTAATAATTAATGCTCTGCCCCGCCCACCTCCAGCACTCAGCACAAATGATTGGTTGCTGCTGCCGGTCACAGTTTGATTGACAGCTGACCTGAAAATTCAATGACTTGTCAGCCAATCGGAGCGCAGTGTTGTGATTCTGCTGCAGCTGCTTTTTCCAGCTTAGACAGCTGACCAGAGAGCATGATGGGAGTTTATTCTGACAAAGATGCTTTTATTTTGAAAATAAGAGACTTTAGTAGACTTTATATTTGTTTGTTTAAAGCTGAATAACTTTTCCTGAAAACCTCACAGAACCAATAGTGGACACACTGGGACCATTAAATGTAGAACCCTTCATTTATTTATCTGCATAGCAATACAGGATGTTAAATACACGTGATTCAATGCTTTTGTCTGTTTACTGTCTCCAGTGAACCTACTAAAATCTTAATTATAAACTCTTTAAACACTTTCAGATTCAGGTTGATATTTAAAGTCCATGTGATGCTCTCAGCTGTCAAAAACAAACCAAAAAACAGATTTTAGCATCTTTTTCCTTTAGTCGTGCAGGTCAGCTAAGTCTGTGTTCCCAGACGCTCTGTACTCAGGCTGTCAAGGAGGCACAGCTCCTCCATCAGGTGACGGCAGGTGATTTAACAACAGCAGGAAGTTAGCTGTAGTGTCTGAAATTCAGATCTGAGCTTTGACGCAGGAAACACGTTTTAAGACTAAGTGTGATCTTCACCTCTGAGGAGATCAGTGAGTGAGATGTCTGAGAATAAACCTCCAGGAAACCACTTAGACACCTGAGAACTGACACTTCCAGCCTGCCTTAGATTCTTCCTCTTTGCTTTATTATCTCAGTAACGACTGATAGTTGCTTTATTTTTTTAAATGTGAACACACACACCGCAGTATCCATGGTAACATCACCACTTCTTCTTGTTTCTGTAAGATTTAACACCTTCACATGAGCAAGACTTTAAATGTTTTCTCAATTCCACTTCTGGAGGCGTTAATGCCATCATGTTTCAGACCTGCAGGACGTCACTGAGGGTCACAAAGTCTGAAGCAATAAACAAATGAACAAAACCAACAATCAGGACAATGAAACACTGCAGTGGTTTTTCTCCTATTACCTTCAAATTTACTGACATCTTTTGTCCTTGGGTTCAATTTGACCCCAGCAATTTAAACCTCCAGAAAATTTTTAGAATGCTACCCAAGTGTATGTGTAAATAGCCCTTTAAATAAAACTGAAAAAAATTACGTCAGTGACTTATTTAGAGACGTTAAACATTGAGTGTAGTCAAACTGACCACAGAGATTACAGGAGAGTTAAAGTAAGTAAGAGAAGTGGTGTTGAGCTCCCTGACAGTAAATGATGATGAATGAAAACTGAGAATTCATCGACACTTTACGTTTGGTTTCTAAAGAGGTGCTGTGAGGGTGTGAGCGGTAACTGAAGTCCTGTACAGTTTCACATGTGAAAATCCCTTTTACGTTACATGATGTGACTTATATGGAACTGAACAACTGCAGCTGAACTTCTTCATGTCATAAGAACCTGAAGCTCACCTGAACAGCACAATAATGAAAGTCACATGTCCCAAGAATGTTTTGGGGTTTTTTTTAGGTTAAAATACTGCAATGCAGCTTACATGTACAGTCGTCTTTAAATGTATTCATAGCCTCCCATTAAAGAAGAAAAAAACAGCTTCAGTCACTGAAATAAGTTTAAATTGACAAAAGTAATAATAAATAAAAATGTAGTGAACATCATGGTATTGCTTTTGAATTGTGGTTCAACAGAAATATTTTTAAGAAACAAGCAAACAAGCATGATGGGACCCGTAGACTAATATTTTGTTGAACAATCTTTGAGCCAATCACTGCAATGAGTGCAATCAAGTGTTTTCTGTGGCTCTCCATCAGACTTCTGCACCTGTTGACAGTTATTTTGATTTCACAGCAAAGGGCTCTAATTTGTCTGGGACAGTTTTGTTTGTTTTTTTAAATTATTCTTTTCCACCACAATTCAAAAGCAACGTCTTATTTCCCTAAATTATAATTTATCAAATTTTTATTTATTCTTACTTTTTTCCCGTTTCTAGTTGTTTGAGTGACTGTTGTGAACTTTGCCTTTTCTTTAATGGAAGGGGATGAATATATTTGAGGAGGACTGTAGCTGAGCTGCTGCTGACCACGCCCCCTTCAGGAAGGAAACTCTCTTTGTGTCTGTGATTGACAGCACAGAGTGAAACACTTGAACACAGCATATGAAACAGACTCAAACAAATGTGTGAGAGCAGGACTTTCGAATTTCTAACTTTCGTCAAATTCACAGCACCGATTTTAACTTTTGTGTTTTGCTGATTTTTTGTATTTTAATGGTGCACAGCTGCAGCTTGAAAATGGCTCTGAAGTGACTTCTGGTTGTCATGTAATGTGCTGCTTTTTCAGTCAGTGTTTCGTATTTGTTCCATTGTTTTGCAACAGAAATTGAAAGAAGAAGTAAATCAGAGCAGCTTATTTAAGAATTTAGCTGTATCACAGTATAGATTATGTGAGAACAGAGCAGGAGAGAAGCATTTTAGTTTGCGCTGAAGCACAGCTGACAACATGAAACCACATTAACCCACCCAGTCCTTTTTTTTTTGGTGTCCAATTGGTCTCTCCACCATCTTTGAATATCCTCCAGGGCTACAGTTTCCACAGAGAGTTGTGGGTACACCATCAAAGCTGATGTTACCGTTAGCCACATTAGCTACAAAACGTGTTGACATCAATGATTTTCGTGTCGCTGTGGTGACATTGCCATCAAAAATGAAAGTAATCCACAAGCTCTTCAATTCCTCAGGTGCTGGGAGTGCATGAGGACTCTTGTGTTCACTCTTGTAGAACCGACAGCAGAACAGTTGCACGTAGCTGAGACATTTTAGAGTTAACAGATGAAGCTCTGGAAAAACCTGGTGGATCTTTCTGAATGTCTCACCATGAAGCAGCCTGCAGCGAGGGGGAGGATTGTACAAAGCCAGATGACTGTTGGTTATTTAGTTTCTATGTAGAAACTAAAAAAAAACAAAAACTGCCTGATCTGTAAAGGTGGGAGGCTATCTAGTCGAGATAGTGCTCCAATTCTTACAGCTTTTATTTTCCACCTTCAAATTTATGAAGCATTCAAAAGACTGAACAATAAAATACAAGAGACTACAAGCATGTTCACCCCTTCTTTAGCAATACGGCAGTGAACAGGAAGCAGCGGGAACATTCACCTCCAGTCACACCAGCAGCTTCCTCTTTTATTCACCAGTAAGGTTGAAGAGTCCGAATTTGAACATCAGTCAGTGTCCTGATTAAATGAGTAAAAGATACGGAGAAGCTAGAAGCTGCAGAAATTGGTTCAGCGCAGTTCTTGGTCTTAAAACTCTGAAAGAGTCTCAGAAGAGTGTTTGAGTCTGAAGTAATTCAGCCTGACTGAAAGTTTCAGAAAATTCACTGACTCATTTTGTTTCTGGAAAACTTTACAGTGACTCAGACGAAAAAGAAGAAGAAGAAGAAGAAGAAGAAGAAGAAAGAGAAGGAGAAGAAGAGGTCAAATACAGGTAAAATATTACATTTCTATTATATTTGTATGAATTGTAAAGCTGTATGAAAGCCTCATATCTCCAGTTTAGTCAGATTTAACCATTTCACGCCTTTTTCTCACATTCATACAAACCACATCACTTCTGAAATACCTGCATGGCTAACATAGAGATAAGTGGTTTCCAGGTTGTGTTATTGTGTCACCATTATGCATGTTTTTAGTGTATCAGATCGTGTCTCACCTTTAGAAGAAACTCAAAATTTTCTCACCGTGGAATTTCCTGTAATCAGATATGGGTTCCACGTTTCCTGCACACGACATTTCAGCCATGAGGTTTTCTAGCATCTTGTTTCTGACAGGAAGGTTGCTCAGGTTTTGCAACCTCAGATATTAATCAGAATTCTGCTTATCAGTCGTCACCATTGGTCACCTCAGAAGAATCATTGCCAGTTTTATTGTCGTGATACAGTGAAAAAAGAAATTGCACGTGGCTTCTGTCCTTAGATGCAAATAACAGACTGGCCATAAATATAGATCAAAACAAGGAAAAAGTCTAAAAATTGTATGAATAGTAGATGTACAGAAATATAAACAAGTAGTGCCAAACAGAGCACCGCTGGATGAGACAAAAACTAGACACACACACACACAACTCTCCTTATATCACACACACACAGGAAAAGTGTAGTCTGATTGAATGTCACAGTGAGAATAAAAGGTTATATGTCTTTTTATACAGTGCATGTAGACTTCTGATTTCAACTGCACATACACACATATTTGCATATCTATATAGTATATAGACATATATAGATATATATATATATATTTAAAACATAAAACATTACAATACAAAACAGAAAAGTACCAGAAAAAGTCAGTAGCAGCAGAATGTAACCGGAATGACAACAGAGGTGCAACATTTGCAAAGTCATAAAGTGATATTAGTGACATTTACCCTGCAAAATGTAGGTGGGCAGCTCTTCTGGAGCTTTCCACTTTGTCCCATCATCCTCATCGCCAGGCGCTTCTTCAAGACAACAAACCTGCAATGAAATCATCCAGACCATTAGATCTTCATGCTGGTTTTTCTGTTATTGTCTCTCCCTTCAGATAAACTGACCTTGAATCTGATTGGCTCCCTGTGGACGTCATGCTGGAGACGGTTTCAATGAAAAACCAGAGTTGCGTGCCACCGTACGACGCTGGCAGCCTGCCTCTGACGATGCTGTACAGCTCCGTGTTTATCGTTGGTCTGCCCACCAACCTGCTGACGGTTCTCCTCACCTGGCTGCAGGTTCGCAGGAAGAACGTGTTGGGCATTTACCTGTTTGGCCTGTCGCTGTGTGACCTTACCTACCTGGGCACGCTGCCTGTGTGGGCGGACTACGTCTTCCATGGACACAGCTGGCGGTGGAGTTCAGTCGCCTGCAAGCTGACGGGTTACATTTTCTTCAACAACATGTACATCAGCATCTTCCTGCTCTGCTGCATCTCCTGTGACCGCTACATTGCCGTCGTCTACAGCGTGGAGTCCCGCGGCCTGCGGCGGGGACGCCACGCTATCCTCATCACCCTCACCATCGTCCTGGTGGTGGCCCTCGGTCACATCCCTGTCTTTACCATGAAGGAGGGCAACGCCACCGAGGGATCACGGCGCTGCTTTGAGCCAAGTCAGAGTAGCGCCACGGTGACTGGCTTTAGCTACGCCCGCTTCATCATCGGTTTTCTGATCCCGCTGCTGCTGCTTGTGGTGACAAACCGCGGCATCCTGGTCAACGTACAGCGCAGCACGGGGCTGAGGGAGGAGCAGAAGCAGCGCGTCCGGCAGCTGGCGGTGGCTGTGGTGGTCCTGTTCCTGGTCTGCTTCGCCCCATACCACGTGATCCTCCTGATCCGAGCCATCATCTTCCATTTCCCCCACCTGGAGGACGGCACCTGTCTGTTCGAGACGACCATGTACACCCCCTACACCATCTCCCTCGGCCTGTCCACCATCAACAGCGCCATCAACCCAATCCTCTACGTCCTGTCCAGTGACAACATACGCAAGGAGCTGAGCCGAGGACTTGCACAGTTCTGCGGCCGAGCGATGCTCCGACCGCGATCCAACAGCAGCCAGAACAAGATCCAGCCTTCCAACAACTCCTTAGAGCTGCACATTGGGACCGAGACCGAGAGACAGACAGCAGGAACACCACCAGGGTCCTGATGGACCGGCCTCCACAGGACCCAACAAAACACTGTCCGCAGGCCGGCGTCTTAAGTACGACCAGCACTGCAGGGTCATCCAGAACATACTGCTGGACTCTGCTGCAGCAAACATCATGGAGTCTAGTGGGGTCACCTCTGAGGAGCAGGACTGAGAGCAGAACCAGAAGATGGTGAGAAGTCTGTTCATGGGCCAAAGTGATGGACGCATGTATGAACATGTACCAGGACAAACTGAGTCCGAAACAGTCAAAGGAACTTAAATGAATTTTTTATTGCTGTTTTTACCTGAAATCACTGTGATGCTTGTTGTTGTTGTTGTTGTTGTTGTTGTTGTTGTTGTTGTTGTTGTAGACTTCTTCTAGTTAATAGTTTAATTCCATTGATGATTAAAATGATTACAAAAAGCAGAAAATGTGTGACGTTTATCATCAGAACAGTAAAAAGGAAGAGGAAGGTTTCACATGAAGTTTGTTTTGCTTGGTCACAATGCGTTTACATTTCACAGTGAATATTTCAATGTGTGGGCTCCAGCCCGCCGTGACCCTAGTGAGGATTAAACGGTGTGTAGATAATGGATGGATGGACATTTAAATGTTGTCATTTCAAAGAGAGAATTCAGATAAAATCTTCAACTTGTGAGACATCAGCGGCTCCTGTCTGACGCAAACAAGCACTGTTTAAAAGGAAAACTCAGTCTATGAGTTGCTAAAGAAGAGTACCTACAGACCTTTCAGACTATCTGGATGAAAGCAAACATTTTCTCAGTAAAACTGGCAGAAAATATCAGCAAAAATAAACTCAGTTTTACAGCCTTTAAAATGTTTTTCTTGCAGCAGATTTTATTCAAAATGGCAAAAGGGCAAACAGCAATAAACACGAAAAGATTTTACGACTTCAAAATGAGCTTCAGCATTTGATTAAAGTGAATAAAGAACTCCAGCAAACCAAAGATGATTCTGTCTGGTTCAAGGGGACTTTCAGGATCAGCATCACGTCTGACTCTGTGAACGTAGGCGAACACTAGACCTGCGGTTTTCATAACAGACACACAGCGAGCTGCTGATCATCATCTGTGAACATCTGCATCGACATCCAGCTGTTGCAGCAGCTTCCTGTCTGAAATCATTAAGCTTTGAATAAAGCTGCTAACCTGTTTCCTGTTGTCGCATTCAGGCTTTACACTCATCCGGCTGTCCGTTACCATGACAACGCAGGTCAGACAGGCCTCACCTGTGTGTCTGACAACATTTATCAGTAACAGACACTACAGTGATAAAGGTCCCATGTTGTGGCCTTTTTCAGCAAATAAATCAAAGTCACACACGTCCCCAGAATGTATTGTTCAGTTCTCAGCTCAAAATACTGTAAAGATGATTCATTTCACCGTTACTGCAGAACATCTGTCCTAAACAGGCTGCTTCAGCGTCTGGAGCTTTAGGTGCAGTTTAGATGTCGTTGTCCACAATCCCTTCCGGCAGAAGAGTCTGACTGTGATTTACTTCACAGAGCAGCTGACATTAAGCAAATGAGCGTGAGATCCAGACTTTCTATCACCTCTAACTTTTCACTTTCACATGGAAACACCACTGAATTCAAAGCACAGCTGCAATATTTTAGCGGTGCAGAGCTGCAGCATGAAAATGGCTTTGAAGTGACTGTTGGTTCGCATTTATCAGCAACACATCCTGGATTGTTTTTCAAGGGACCTCATAAATGTGGTGAACCTGCAATGTTGTTTAGTAACTCGTGTAAGACGCTAATAAATCTGATAAAACACAACATCACCCAGGGAAGAACGTCCTGAAAAATAGATCAATAAAATATAAATAACTAAATTATTTTTCTTTTGGAAACTTATTAAAAAATATTCTGTGTCCTATATACAAGTATTAATAATAATAAATCCTTTCTTTTGGTAGAAATATTCTTTATTTTCTGACTTTAAACAGCTTTTTGAGATCACAAAAAAAATTTATTCCTCATTTATTCTCAGATTTTTCTACGTGCTTCAGTCTCTACTTCACATTCATTCAGTGGTCTGACAACAGAAGCTGAAAAATATCCAAATGAGAACAACTTCACTGGGAATTCAGCTGTACTAAAATGCAGAATATGTGAGTGTAGGAAGGAGAGAGACAAACAGAGAAGGAGCGGGAGGATTATACCAATTACTTTTAGCTCAACAACTATTGGTTGCTCTGATTCTACATAGAAACTGAATACAATTCTGACTGGCTTGTAAAGCTGGGAGGCCATCAGTTGATGGGGGCTTGAGGAATGATAGAAATAAGTACAGTCGTGAATCGATAATCTGACACATAACAATCCCAAAATCCGACAGGTTTTGAGGAAAAACAAACGGAACCCATGAAAAACAGCCTTAACATACCGACAGCCTTGGATTCTGACTCGAACAGATTTACTTATCTTTGATGTCACAAGCACACCGATCAATTAGGCGTGAAATCCAGCGATGCGTAGCGTTCTAAAAACACGATAGTAACGCTCATTGAGTGAGTTTGCCAACTAATGAAGTCGGTTTGCATCAGTTTGTTCGTGAACAACTCTTCATGTGTGGAACACAGGAAGGTTTGGTGCTTTGAAGTATTAAGCAATGTGACATTTTATGACACCATAACAGCATCATATACGTAGATAGTTTATTATACCAACTATAAACAATGACTATTAACAACAAATGATCCTTCAAGCATCAAGCCCTTCTTGTATCTGGACCTCCGTCTTGACAATCCGACAGCCTTGCTATCCGACATAAAAGAAGGTTTTACGTTTAGAGTCGGATTATTGAGTCACGACCGTATCGTCATATCTTAACAGCTTTTTATTAACACCCAATTTTAGTTGTATTGTATTCATCATTGTATTGTATGATTATTATATCAAGTTTTTGGGACATACAAAACAATAAACATGAATCTTTCACTATCTGGGACCTTTACACTCACCTCTAGCTGGTGGTGGACTTGCGGCCGTTGTCACATAAATAAATAGGAAATTCTCCCACAGTTTACTGGCAGAGACACACCTGTGATTACACCTAACCGATGAACATTACATCAATCATTAGAAATACTGATGGCAACTCAGCTTGTTTTTGAGATGGCAGCTGACTCACAGTGATCCACAACACTGACATGAATAACAACGTGTCTGGACAGACATAAGGAGTTATTGAGGGATTGGTTGTTCCTCCGTTTACCGGTGACACACACACACCTGGTCTGACAGCCGTTTTAAACTACACACAAACTGTGCACTGCTGCTCTAAGGAAGTGACCTGAATGTTCATATACGCGGTTACCAGCGTTCTCAACAGGAAGTCATTTGAGAAAAAAAAAAAAAAAATAGAAAGTTGCAGGAAACCTGCAGCATCAGATAGGAGTCAAACCAAGTTCAGCTTCAGGTGAGAGGAAGAGTTCAACAACACTAACAACTTGCACTGTTCTGTGAGTCAAAGCTGAGGGCGAAAAGTACAACTGGCAAGACGTTTACATCAATGAGTGGCAAACATGTAAATAAAATGTGCATATCACAATAAAACAATGAGTTAAAACTTCATTACTGATACAAAACGGACTCAAGTAAAGCAAAAACTATTAAATTGCTGTAAAAAACTAGAATGTGAACACAACAGTAAAGGTTTACCAGCGCGTGTTGCTGTTGCCCTGCTTTCTCCCTGCAGGCGTGCAGTTCTGCAGACCGTTCGTTTGTTCTGCAGGAGCTTTTGACCGCTTGTTGCTATCTTGGCTCTGACTTCTTCTTCTTTGCTGTTGGTCTTTTTTTTTGTTTCAGTCTGTGAAACCAATTTAAAATGTGCTGCACCTGAAGCATAATTTCACTTTGTGTTTTTATAGTTTTGTGTTCGTGTCCAAAGAAAAATCTGAGAGTAAATGAAGAATTTCTTTTTAGTGATTTAAAAAAAAAAAACTGTTTAAAGTCAGAAAATAAAGAACATTTCTATCAAAATAAATGGAGTTATTATTAATACTAGTATATAGGATACAGAATATTTTAATAAGTTTCCAAAAGAAGAATAATTTAGTTTTTTATATTTTATTGACTATTATTTTTTGGGACGTTCTTCCCTGGGTGCCGTTATGTTTTATCAGATTTATTAGCTTCTTACATGAATTACAAAACAACATTGCAAGTTCACCACATTTATGAGGTTCCTGCAGTTTGAAAAACAATCCAGGACGTGTTGCTGAAAGCCTCAGGAGCAGATGACGGTGTGTTGGGATGATGTTTTTGAAGTTCGATTCATTTATTTTGTTTTGAAGCAGTGCAGCAGGAACTCTGACCTGATTCCTGCTCTGCTCTGATTGGCTCTGCTGTCGCTCTGCTCTCATCCGGACACTCTGATTGGCCGACGGTCCGTGTATAAACAAGCAGAGAGGACCTTATAAATCTTTAATGAACCTGCCAGACACAACTGAGGGTGAAATTAATCATTGATAACTGACCTGAAATCATCACTGAGCTGAATTAAATATGACAAAAACAGAATGGAGTCTGGTACAGGGTGACAGCCACATGCCAAAAATTTCACAATTTCTCTTTTTTGGGGGGGGATTTCCATCTATTTTTAATTAGAATTTGCTCTTGTTTTGTTTGTGTATCTCATGTGGTGTGGTAAACACTAACCAACAATTTCAGATGACTGTCACTGTGAACTGTCGACTCCGTAGCATAAAATCTGTGAATTGTGAAGTGTGGGATTGCATATAATTGGGACACACTACTTTGTCATGATATTTCACTTTATGTTCATGTGGAAATCTTTATGGAGAAACGAGCCGTCACTTGTCACCGTGTTCTCGGCAGCTTCAGCTTGTTCCCACACCGAATGTGATGTAACTGTGCAGAGGATTGTGAGTCAGAGTAGCCAGCAAACCATAGTGGGTTCATTACAAAATCCAACCTGATCTAACACGACAGTAGGTATTGTTGATTTACTACATTTGACATACTCTGCATTGGGACATACTAAATCTCCATCTGGCGTACGATGTGGTATGTTCTGGTAGATTCATCGTAGCAACTGGACTTGCTTGAGTTCCTTGAAGATGTTTCACCTCTCATCCAAGAGGCTTCATCAGTTCTGACTGACTAGTTGGGAGTTCCAGTTACTTATATCCTAAAGGAGCCATTAACAACTGTGTTTCGGTTTCATTTGGGGGTTTGTTGCCCTCCCTCTCGTTATGTGAGTTGTTAGTGCTCCCACTGCCACAACAAATGGGTTTGTTAGGGTCTGTTGTGGCTAGGTGTGAATGTGGTTACATCTTCCTGGGGAGAGATCTTAGGACTGAATTGGGAAGATGAAACCACCTTCACACCGAGCCACAACAGACCCTAGCGAACCCCACTGTGTCAGGGGGAGCACTAAAGACCCACATAACGAGGGGGAGGCACAACAAACCCCTAATTGAAACCGAAACACAGTTGTTAATGGCTCCTTTAGGATATAAGTATGTGGAACTCCCAACTGGTCAGTCAGAACTGATGAAGCCTCTTGGATGAGAAGTGAAACGTCTTCAAGGAACTCAATCAAGTCCAGTTGCTACGATTAAACTAGCAGAACAACCATGACCTGGATGACTGAGGATCTTCACAGACATATATGGTATGGTAGTATGGATGTTAGAACACACTCCGAGAGGATGCGAAAGTGATTTCAGATAGTCTGAGAGTAGGGTGAATCTGAACAGAACCTCCTCCACAGCAGGCTGGCTGTGCAGCATCAGTTACCATGGTGATCTAGCAGGTTAAGGCCAGCAAGATACCTCGCTAACCCATTAATCTCGCTTCAGAGCACACCCATCTGTGCTAATGTTATTTCCCTGTGCAGCTGTTGTTTAAGTGTTGTTTACCTGTGCAGGTGTTCCCTGTTGTGACACAGACACTCAGATTCGCTTCAGGTTCATTTATTGTGTTTTTTTGGCTGCTAACAGTTTATCGTTACAAAGATTCTTTAACTGGTGATTCTGGAAGAAACAAAGCAGTAGTGTTCAGGTGTGACCCCTCCCCACGTCGCCTGTCTCCACCTGAGCAGAGGGCGGGGTCAGGTCGGGGGTGGGAGGGGCAACAGGAAAGATCATCACTGACACAAAATCAAAGATTATTTTTCTCCTACAACAACAACAACAATGATGATGTGCAACTTTAACAAAACTTTAAAATTAATTCTTACAGTGTTTTTTCATCAGAGTGAGACCTCCCATTTATCAGGAGTTAGCCACAGTTAGCTCAGCGGCTAGCAGCCCGCTAACGCTCAACTGGAAGTTATTTAATACAGAAGAAGAACAGGAGGTGACTGGTCCCACAGAGCCAATCAGAATAAAGGTCAAAGGTCACACACAGCAGCTGTCAGCAGGGAGGGGGTTAAAACCAAGGGGGGCGGGGCTTCCCAGCAGGTAAAATCCAACAAAATAAAAGCAGCAGGAAGCTCAGACTCACCCCGCTACAATAAAATCCTCAAAGTAAAAGCTCAACTCTCAGTCTGCAGCCTGATTGGTTCATTCAGGGGCCCCGTGCACCCTCAGGTGTGAGGGGGTGGGACTTCAGGTGAGCAAAGGCGAGTTCAGGGCTCAGAGTCCAGGCCGTCTAGAGTTAACTGGCTGCGGTGGGGGGAGTTGGGGCTCGGGGGGCTGCTGGGATTGGAGCTGTTGGAGGGGGTCGAGTGCTTAGTGGAGTCCGAGTCCGGCTGGGTGTCAGACATCCACAACACACAGAGAGAGAAAGAGAGAGGGGCTCATCAATATATTATGTGCTGGTTATTGACAGGTTCACACATCAGGACTGCTGTCCACAGTTTTTTAAGTGTGTGTGTGTGTGCGCGTGTGTGTTACCTCTCGGTCCAGGTCTTGGTCTGGTTCACAGATGCTGCGGGATGAAGCTCCTCCTCCAAAATCTGAACCAATAAAAACACATAAGCGAGGAGCCCTCATGTTGAATAGGTGTGTTCATGAAAAGTTTTCTGTGAGTGTAGGTGTGTGTGTGTGTGTGTCTGTTTACCTGAAGCTGTGCGGGTTATGTGTGTCTTGCTCCTCTGTTGCCGGGAGATACTGGACAGTGGGCGGGGCTTATCTTTAATGGAGTCGTCCTGAGAGGAGGGCAGCACACTCTACAGACACACAGGAGGCAGCATGACACACTGATCTAAACATCAGTGCAGTGTAGTGGTCAGTAGCAGTGGCGGCTGGGTAATACGGGCTCCGCCCCACTACTAGTGACCAGAGAAAAGGTAGTTCTCAAACACAATGTTAAATTTGAATTAATTATAACAAAATAATAATAATTTTTAAAAAAATAACGTTCATATTATTTTGCCATATTAACAGTATTTGCATTATCAACAGATTTGATATTAGCCTCCGCAGCATGTTTACTAATTCTACACTTCCTGGATGCGGGATGCTGGCCAAATGAGTGTGCATATAGCTTGAAAAATGTTTTGTGATCATGTGACCTTGGCCCGGGCTCTGATTGGCAGCTGCAGACTCTCTCACGGGGTGCAGCTCGGTGCGTCCCGGACCCGGCCACTTTTGCTGTAAGTCAATTAATTCTGTCTTCATTTGCTTTTGTCTTCTGTGGCTGGACATCAAAACTGTCTGTCACCGTCACACGGCCTTTCCCCTCCTCTTCTACTAGATGACAGCTACTGGCCTTATGGCTTAATACGTTGGCCATGCTGTCAATGGAGAAGAGGCTGCTCACAGAGATGAAAGACTTCAAGTGAAAAGTCATAGAGAAGTTTGCTGAGCAGAAAGAGAGAAGAGCCACATTTTTGTTCAAATAGCAGGACTCCAGACTGCATTTTGGACCTTTTTTTTAGAGTGTGTGTGAATTGATGAGCACGATGATCATGAAGTTGTATTAGTGTCGCTGTAACTGGCACAGAAAGCTGCTGTGTGGACCACAGTGGTGGAAAGTAGAACCTTTATAACTTCAGTGTACTACGGTATTTACACTTAAAATGGAAAGTACTTACATTCACTGTTTATCCACTCATAGAAAAGACCGCGTGTAGAATATATGTAACTGGGTTTAACCTCGGACAAATCTGAGGGAGAACGCCCTAGTTTTATAGATTTTTAAAGTCATTTTTGGTCACGCACCTGTCTGAGCACACCACAGCCACCAAGCAGCCGCTACCGCAGCCTGCTATGTGGGGCGTTTAGGGAGCATCAGTAAACTGTAGTGTCTATCGATAACAAAGTGTTCAGCAAGTCCTATGTTTTACCTTTGACCAGGTGGGAGGTGCAACAAAATGAGAAAGTTGGTCGTACCGGTGCTACCAGAGAAAAAGTTAGTCTGGAGCCCTGAATAGTGTTTTTTTCATTATTTATGTGTTTCGAGTTTTTACAGATCCTGTAAATATTGATGAAAGTTTGATGAATGGTTTTGAAATTTAGTTCTGGTCAGTCTTGATAATGTTAAATTAGGTTCTGATTAGAATATCCTCCAAAGGTACAACATTTGCATTCCTGTAAATAGTTGTGCCTGATGTTACTCATATTCTAACTTCTGATTTAAAATAAAAGGTCATTAGCAGTCTGCGCGGCCCCCCAAAAACTTTCACCGGCCGCCGATGGTCAGTAGAGAGAGAGAGCGTGTGTGTGTGCAGCGCCCTCTGGTGGTCGTGCTGTCAGCTCTCTGCTCCAGTCTCAGACAGGAAAATAACAAAATCATCTGTGCAGGTTGTGCGGAACAATCGACTGCAGTCTCATTACTGTACCTTCTGACCAAATGACAGAATAACTGAGAAAAAGCTGACAGATTAATCAGTGATGAATCAATCAATATCTGCAGCTCAACATTGAAACTTGTAACCTATTTTAAAAAATGAGGAACGCAAAGTTCCTCATTTAACAAGCGCACAACTGTCAGCCCACATCTGACACCAAATGACTACAGTTAAAGCGGAGTGAGTAGATTCACTGATCAACAGCTGAGACCTTTTACATGAACTTAATCTTCTTTGAACCGTTGGGCGGATGAGACTCTGAAGACAGGAACAGGATGCTGTGACAGATATTTTTAACAATCTTTCATCATCATCACACTTCAGATAACTCATTCCTTCAGCTTAAAGAAAAATCTTATTGCTGCGTTCAAGTCACATATGAGTTGAGAAAGTGGCAGAAAATACTGTTCAGCTGGATATTATTGAACTGACGGGACTGGAAGATGGCTCTCTTCCGTTTTAGGAACCACATACTGGGTCACTGCAGGTGTGGTGCGGCTCTCCTTACTGAATCCACTGATCAATGGGCAGAGTCTGGAGGTGGCACCTCACCACAGCACTGTCAACCTTAACAGGTCTCCAGGCCTGCTGGTTTGTCCATGAGCCCCTCAACCTCCAGAATCTTATGTAAAGTGGATCTTCCTCCCTCCACATCACTTTAAGCTCTCACAGTCAGAAGTGGTGAGAGGACACATATCTGGTTCCAGCTGCTTACAGGGGGGTGGTCTTGTTTCATCCCTCAGTGAAAGGAAATAATCAGGAGAGTAGACAGAATGTTGTTACTCAGCGAGTCGACAGCACTCGACTCCAGTTTGTTTCTGTAGTATAGGACGGCAGAAACCCAAACTTTATGCCAAAAACAGTTTACTTAGTTTTTTAGGATCAATAAATACAAATTATTACAAAAATAACAAGTGCTACAATATTTAGAATCTCAAACAACCAGCAGCTGATGGGACCCTGACATGTGAAACGATCTGAAACTGAACTATCTTGTGACTTGAACGCAGCTCCAACCTGAACATACTGCAAGCCAGTGTGGGGGAGGAGGGGGCGCAGGGTGAGGAGAAGAGAGAGAGAGAGAAGCTGGCCTACCCTTCCCAGAGAGGAGGTGGAGGGAGAGGAGGAGGAGGAGGAAGAAGGCTGCAGGAGGCTCTGCTGGGAGGAAGAAGAGGAGGCGTCTTTCTGCAAGAAGGCGCCGGCCGACGCCGACGTCATGTGATAGACGTGCTCAAAGTTGGAGGGGGGAGAGATGAGGGTGTGACGGGAGGAGGAGGAAGGGGAAGGGGAGGGAGACGGGAAGGGGGAAAGGGCGGTGACATCACCAACCTGATAATTGTGGGGAGGAAGAGGAGGAGGAGGAGGAGGAAGGGGTGAGGAAGAAGGGGTGAGGGAGGTGAGACAGGGGGAGGAGGAAGAGAGAAGAGAGGAGGAGTCAGTGTGATGAACAGAGCTGTCGGAGGGGCGGGGAGGTGAGCAGGTGAGGGAGGAGAACATGCCGGCAGGAGGAGGTGCAGTAAGGAGGAGGAGTTACCAGAGGGAGGTCCATCAGGACCTGCATGCCGTCTCCTGGTCCCATGTGAGCCACGTGGTTGAAGTTTGTCGGATTAGAAATCATCTTGGACCTCAGCTCTGGATCCCTTAGCATCTCCCTGACAACAAACAAACAGCACGGAAATACAAATAAACAACCAACACAACACAAATATCCAACAGATGATGCATGAACATGACAAATGCAAATAAATAAACAACAAACAAACACAACACAGATTAATAGGGCAAAAATAACATGCATGTATTGTAATGAGTCAGTGTTTTATTTTGCTGACACACTTGTTTTATTCAGTTTTTATTCTGTATTTTTTAAAAGTCACTGTTGAATTTTGTCACCTCCTCTGCTGAAGTCGCTCCTCTTCAGGAACTTTGAAGAGAAACTTCCTCTTGCTGCGAGTTCGAACCATCAGCTTCCTGCTGTGGTCCGACGTCTCTGGGATGGTGAGGTCGCCCTCTGGTGAGACACAGGTCAGAAATGGGTGCAAAGGTGTTAGTTTCAGCAGTAAAGGCTCATGTCGGTGTCCAGGTGTGTTTGGATTCAGGTGTGATACCTGATGAGGTGTTGCTGAAGTAAATCAGACGTGGAGGTTCTGAGCTCAGCAGGTTTAATGTCCCTTCAACATTCAGAGGTCTGATCTGAGGACAAGGACACACACAAGAGGTTGTCAGCCATTCCTAAACTGTGATTGGCTGGTTCTGAGCTGTGCTGGGCTGTGATTGGCTACCTTGCGGAGGGAGATGGTTTGGACCCACTCTGTAGTGTGAATATCAAAGACATCGACCCCGTATTCACTGTAGACCGTCAGGTGAGATGAGTTAGAGCCTGAAGAGAAAAGCACAAATCAGAGACCAGCTAGTTTCTGTCAAACCTCACCTGATAATCTCCTTCACCTGTCTGTACTCACTTGTCTCACTTCTTCATTCTACACTCACTTTTATAATGACTAATATATTAACGTACTGCATGCGAGCGGCGTGGCGGGCCACATCAACTCTTGGGTCCGAGACCGGCGGCCCTGTCCGTCCACGTAGATGCCGAGCTGGCTGAAGCAGAGCAGCAGCTCACTGGAGCCAACCTCCAGGGCATGCAGGGCATCCAGCGGCTGCTGAGCCAGAAAGGCCAGCGATGGGTCGGCTGGGCTCACCAGACTGATGGGGGACGACTCCCCCTGCAGAGCCAGCAGAGCGAAGCCAGAGGGGTAACCGACACATAGCCGCTCCCTGACCATTCCCAACCATTGCACCGTACCTGGAGCCTGCACCTCCCACAGCTTCTTATGGTGGGGCTTTGCCCGAGTGATTTCATAGCACTGAACCTGGAGGGAAGACGGACAGAACTGAGGCATTAGGACAGAGACAGGATCAGAAGTAAATGTCTGATCCAGGTGAGCTGACAGTTCTCTGACCTGACGTTTGACAGCAGCCAGTAGGCACGCAGGGCCTCCAGGTCGGAGCACCCCTGTGGTCAGAGCCTGGCAGCCTTTGGTTTCTGCCAGCTTAATATCGAAGGCGGACTCGGCGCCCTCCAGCACCCCCCAGGGGTGAAGGTGAACATGACGGTTACGACCGCAGAGGAGAGCAATGATCTTCTCCTTCGGGATCAAATCGATTTGATAAACTTTCTTACTGTCGGCAGCTCGCACAATCACTGCAGAGAGAGGAGAGGAGGAGTTATTACTGACTGTCTGTCTGACGATGTCTATAACAATTTGTTTATTTGTCTTACCATCTCTAGTGACTTCGACCACAAACAGCCCATCTTCTGTTCCCAGGGCGATCCTCTCCCGATCTGCAGAGACGCAAAATGTTCACACAGATTTCTACAAAATCCTAAAATAATCAATAAAAAATACGAAAGCAACATAAATCAACCAAGTATTCACAAGACTAAACATCTACAAAAATTACAGCTCAATACAGGATAAAAACCTTCTATAGACTTCCTGAAACATTCCACCAGAACAAACTCTCTCAGACCATCACTCACTTGTCCGAAATCTATTTCTCAAAGCACACCAGAACAACCTTCTGAAATCTCCAAAAACCCTCAGACCTGTCCGAAACCAATCTACAACTACCAAAACATTGCCAGAGAACTGACCGAGCACTGCGGCAGACAGCGTGGTCTTGATGATGGGTAGTGAGGCATCGTAAGCCTCGTGCAGAACGTGGACCTGCTGGCTCTTCAGCAGGTTCTTGGTCAGGATGCTCTGCAGACCCTCCAGGATTCTGACCCACTTCCTCTTCTCTACTTCACTCTCCGCCAAGACCAGCAGAGACACAGAGGACAGCTGTGAGATCAGCTGCGACGACGTTACCTGAACACAACAACAACAACAGTCAGAACAGAGCCCAGGTCAGAGCTCAGACAGCAAGGCTTCAGAGGGGATGGGGTCTCCTACCCTAAAGATGCAGGGGACGTCCTTCCTGGTGGCATGGATCACATCTGACGCTAAGACAGAGCTGACTGACAAATCCTCGTCTCTGAAACAGAAACACACATGAGATTATGTTCCTCATACCAAAGCAAAAATAATATTAGGAACAACAAATCCTACTACTTGAGAAAAACCCTCTGAAAAGATCCTCAACCTTCACAAAACTAACTGAATCTTCTCTGAACTATCCAAACCTTCTGAGAACCTGAAGATCCCAGAATTTTTGCATAAATACCCAAATGCCTCTACCTTCCTTGACACAGCGGCAGACTTTATACCTGAGGTCGAGGACCAGACTGGCCACCACCCCCGGCTGGGTGGACTTTCCCTCTGGGATGTCATAGAGGAACAGTTTACAGTCAGACACCACAGCAAATGCTCGCTGCCAGCCCTTCTTCACCCCGCTGGGCTTTGGGATCTAACAGAGAGCAAACAAGACATGAGTTTGTTGCTGTGGAACTACTATAAAACTACTGCGTCACTAGTGCCTCAGCATTCTGCCAGCGATCTTACCCTGACGTAGCCCTTGTAAGCAGTCCCGATACCTCTCTGGACGTCGATGCCCTGTGGCCTCTTGGCCTGTTCTGCTGGGATTGGGCAGACCAGGGGGGCGTGGTCTTTACAGGAAACGTGACAGATGAAGGAGCACACTGAAGACGGACACAAAGAGAGTTAGACTAAGAAACGCTTTACACGTGACTCAACTGTAACTGGAGTATTAAAAATCAATGAGCATCCATTTGGGGCTGTTCAACCACTGCTACGGTTTTATTTAGTAAAACTTTACAAAGTTTGTGGACCCCTTCCTCTGCTGTTCTATTGTTTCTTTTGTCACATCAAACCTGAAATTTACCTTCACAGGCGTATCCTTGCCGGATGAGCCCCACCATCAGAGAAGTGCAGTGTGTGCACTGAGTTGGACTGGAGAACGTCTTAATGCTCAGCTGGTGAGCTTTGGGCTGAAATCACACAACACATGAATGGAACTTTATCTAACGGAGTTTCTGCAGTAGATAGATGCTTTATCAGTGTTCACCACCTTACATTTTAGCATGTATAAAATCTTTCAACAGCAACGCCTATTAAAATGTAACACTAGTCGCTGTCATAGCAATAAGTGAACCAGTAGGAACAATAAGACTGACACTTGCGTATATGTACTTGAAAATGTCAGCATGTATATAATGTTTATGTTTTTGCTCCATTATTCATAATTAGAGCAGAAAAGCAGCAGCAGCAACAGCATTAAAAGTTCCACAAAAATAGACCGAGCAGCCTCAAGCAGCTCGATTCACTACTAGCTTACAGATATTCAACATCCGCCTGCACTCACACGCCGACACATGTCACGAACATTTCTACAGCAGCCAAAAGGAATATTCAGACCTTCGCAAAGACCTTAAAACATTCCAAGGCTTTCTTGAGGGTACGGTTGTATTGAAAATTTTTCAATAAATGCAGAGACCCTGATGAATGAAAACACTGAACACTGAGAGGAGAAGATTCAGAGACGTAAAACTCCACTCATGGCAGCTACGTAACATAATAAATGTCTGAATCAGGTAATTTCTCATCTCCCCTCAGGTGACATCACACCTGGGAAAATGGTGGCTTACCTTTGGTGTGGTGAACGCTGAACTCTGGTAGGTGGGGGATGGGCTAGCTGGGACTGACGCTGCTTTAACTTCCTGTGGACACAAACAGGACCGGTTCAGTCAAGTAACATACAACCTGTAACATACATGAGCAAAAACAGACAACCTGTGACCGACCTCGTGTTCTGAGGTGGTGGAGGGCGAGGGGGGCGTGGTCTCTGATTTCAGGGGGGTGGAGTCTATGTCTGTGGTCTGCAGGTAAGAGAAAAAACATTTAAAGCAACATTGACGTCAAATCCATGGCAGAGAAACCTCACAGATGTTTGAACCAATAAGATCAGATTGGATCAAGCTGGAATTTGATTTCAGATTTCATCCAGTTTCACGTGACAACTACAACAGTTTGTTTTCACATACTATGAAAAGTGTGTGACATCTTGAACATGGAATGACAAGTATTAAGCACACATTAATGGTTTAGCCCATGTGGCTCCTCATAAACGTATGACATGTCCTGGTTAGTACTAATACAGGACTAATGTAGTACTATTGTAGTAATTCTACATGTTGAGACAGCTGACTGAAAAATCTGGTTTGATGTTCACAAATGTACATCTATGACAGAAGGGACTGCAGCTAGAGGAGCCCATGTGTGGATCGATTCTAGTGGTTTGGGTAGTGTTCAATTATATGGGCAGAGTCCAACCATGTGGGTGGTTGCTAACAAACTTTTTACGCTACTTCATTAGTACGAAACTAGCAGCTACAACAGTGGTTAGATTGGCGGCTAGCTGCCATTTTAGCGTAAAAGAACAGGTACGCTGAGGACTGTAACTTGGTGGGTGAAACTTACTTCTTCCCAGATTGCAAGCAGCGAAGAGGCGGAACAAACTGACGCCTCAATATTACAAAGAGAAACAAGCAACAACAACTTCAGACACTCAACGCTACACCTGAGTGACATCATCAGCATGTGACCTGCTTTGTTTGGATTCCTAACTGTGATTGGTCTGAATGGGGAGAAGGAAAGGTGACTCACTCTGAAGGTGAGGTCCGGAGCAAGAGGAGATGTGTTGAAATACTCAAAGATGGGGTCCTGGAAGTCTGGAAGCTTAAATCCTGCAAAGAGACACACTAAAGGTTACATACATGCTGGTGATTAGGCTCATGGCACTTGTGTCTGGAATGACCAAAAGAAACCTCAAAACCCTTTTAGATGCCATGACTGATTTACACGATCAGTGCAATCCCTGACAGACAACCACAGGACAGCTAAATTCCCCTTCAAACTCTGGATCACTCTGACTTACCACTCAGAGTCATTCGAATTTGGTGCAACTCAAACACTAACTTCAGCCAAAAGAACAACAAGAACCCCTTCAAGAACTACTGGGATACTTAAAAAACATCAAATTCCCCTCAAGTCATGGCTAGGACCCCCACGCCTGCCATCAAGAGTTCTGCCACTCTTTAAGGACCCACGGAATACTCACAACAATTATTTGCAATTCTTATACATGAATTCTAACAATTCTTAACGACTATCAGGCCCCTACAGTACCCCTATAATACTCCATAATCTTATCAATCTTAAAGACCCCTCAAGTCCTGTTTACTGCAATCTTCTTTGGACAGTTCAAATGTCCTAAAGATCCCTGGAACACCCTCCAGAACCACTCGACTGCCCTTTAAGTCCATTGCAAAATCTGGTTCCCTTTGAATACCCCAAGTGATTATCTTCAAAAACCCCAGTGATGTCTCTAGGATCTCTGGAACTACCGTAGAACAACCTACAGAAGTCCTAAATGTCTCTCAAAGACCTAAACGTGACTCCTGCTAAAATACCTGACCGGTATCATTGCACTCGATAAACGCCAACAAGTAACTTAAACCTACATCAACGGATTGCTTTTCTTCCTTCTAATAGAACCGTCTGAATGAAGGTCTGAAGGCGTTCACAGATCTTCTCTTTAGAATCAGCCAAAAACAAAAGGACTAAGCTCACAATTGTGTGGCATTGCCTCAAGACCGCAACGACGCATGAAACTGTTCTCAAGCTTGAAGCCTCTACATAATTGTGTGGATTTGTTTTTTTGGAACCATCTGGACCAAACACGTTTGTAAAAACCCTGCAGTGATGAGACCAAGCCTGTAGGAAGAGCTTGTATGAAGTAGGAGGAGTTAACAGGTTGCCTCACCTTTGTCGGAACGCGAACGGCTCTCCTCCATCTCCTTTTTCAGATTCTCCATCTGCTCTCCCATGTCCCTGCCCCTCTCCTCTGACTCCTTCAGCTTACTGCAGACAGATGGACAAAGACAGGTGAGACAAAGGAACAGACAGGTAAGGACAGGTGAGGAGACAGTCTGCCTCTGTGTGACTTCTGACCTCTCCAGGTTGATGTTGGCAGCCTTGACTTTGCGCAGCTCCTCCTGAACCAACTGTTTGGCTCTGATCTCAGCATCCAGAGCTGACTGGAGCTCCAGACGAGCAGACATGTCTACCTTCTGACTGCGACGCACCTTCCACAGGGGGTCCTACAGGGGTAGGAGGAGAGAAGTGAGTGATGGACAACCTCACGCAGTTCCTTCTTCAATGCAGCCCTCTACATCAATGCCCTTCCACCACCATGTGTCCCCTGACAGACAGTAGCAGATGTAGCATAAAGCCAATTGCAGCAGCCCGTGAGCATAAAATCGCATGATGTGATTTCTTGTTAGATAATTTCATTGGTGTTGCTGCTGGTTGACATAATTACACGACAGATTATGACACCAGCACTTCCTGGCTTCTGGAAAACCTGATATCAGTGCACTGCTCAGCGAAGACCCTATGAGAAACCCTGGGTGCTTTCAAGGACCCTTTGAAATCCCTCAAGGATTACCAGGTACACCTGTAACCTAAAGAACCCCTAAATACATTCTTCAAATCCCAAGAGTGACATCAAGGCTATTGGGATCTTTCAAGAATCCTGGAACACACTTAAAGGCCACTGGAATGAAAAACCTTTGATCTCAAGGATCATGAGTACACCTTAAAAGACTACTGGATCTCATTTAGGTAGGAATGTCCAAATCAATTTTTTAACACTATAGTGACCAGAGGAGGTGGGCACTTCTGTGTGGGTAAGCAGAGGACATTGAGAGTTCAGCTCATAAAGGGGCGCTGTAAGAGACTTGAAACATCAGGCCAGCCACAGGGATGTCACACCTTAATAGCACATCTTATTGAGAGTTTTGCAGATGTGACTTACATACTAAGATGATAACAGGCGTGACAAGAAAAATTGGGCATGGATTTGTTAAATATCAGTTTCAAAAAAGTTTATTTATCAGCCCCAGTCCTAACATTAGGATGAGGTTTGGGACATCCATGCTTCACAGTCACATGATCAGTCTACAAGAATATGTCCTCTTAGACCTTTGGATCACTGATGTATCATTCAAATTCTTATTGAAGCAAGAAATAAACTAGCTTCTGCCTAAAGAACCACAAGAACTCCCTTCAGGGAAAATTGGAACTCTCTAAATGCTTCTCTAAATGATCACTGGGCGCCCTTAAAGTCTCTTAAAAATATGGCACCCCTAAATGACCCCAGTACCTCTCAAGCACATTTAGAACTACAATAAGGGAATTCACTGCTCTGACGCCTTGACTCCAATCAAGACTGCTGCAGTTCACAAACGGACACCTAGAAGTCCCTCAACAATTTTTTAAATACCCAACTGTGCTTCAAAAATGATGAAAACCCCTTCAAGGAACCCTGGACATATCCTGCTTTACTTCACAATCTTCACTACCTTAAGGTCCCTCGTGATTCTTTTAAAACCCCATGATTACAAGAAGCACTGCAGTCCTTTAAGGATTATCCATTTTAACATCTAGCTCTTTTTAAACACCTGTTTGATTACCTTCAAGGACTGCAACCCTTTGAGGACCACTGAAATGCTCTCTGAAGCCTGTGGATCTCCCTTAAAATCATCCGAAAGGAGTCCTGAGACTTGACCCTGAGACCGCTTTTAAAGACAATTTCCAAATTTCCTTGATTCGTACCTTATAACCCACTATGCAAACATTACATTTTTCAGTGACATTGTGAAATAACTGAAGAACCCTTAAAATCATGTGAACCCCCTTGATTTCCAATTGAAGACAGTCAAGAAGCAGAAGCCATTCACAATGATCCTTAGTGGATTTTACCAAGAATGACAGACATGCAAGCCAACAGCCATGCAAGTTTTTTAAACCAAGCGAGAGAGTGAGTCCTGATTGGCTGGAAGTGGTGACCAACACACTCACCCTCCTGTCTCCACCAATAGGAGGCCAGGGCTTCTTAGGAGGCGTGGCCACTCCTGACTCAGGCTGAGACGGCAAGTTAAAAGAACAATCACCACACAGATACTACTGACAAGTACAGACAGAACTACAGAAAGGACACATAGAAGTACAAAGTATTGACATAAAAAAGTACTAAAAGTGTAGATGGAACTACATATAGCACAGATACAACTATAGACACAACTACAGAAAGCACACACAGAAGTACAAAGTACTGGGAGTAAACACATTGTACTAAAAGTGTAGATGAAAAGAGCACAGATACAAATACAGACAGAACTTGAGACTGAAGTACAGAAGAAGAAACAGAGGTACAGACAGAAGTACAGTCAGTGTCTGAAATTAACTTTCTGACTGACCTGCCAAAGTGGAGTGTTATACAAAACAATCCACTGGCCTCACCACTTCTCACAGGCCAGAATAATAAATTGCCTTTTTGTGTCAAACTAAAAACCTGAATGCACATGGTGTCACAGAAAATTTAGAAAGAAAGGAGGAAACAACTGAAACTCCTCTGAAAGGTTCTGAGGCACAGAACACAGAATTAAATGTCAAAGAGTTTCACTTCTTATTTTCTATTAGCAACATATCGTCACAATCTTACCCTTTGTGACCAGTGACATTTGCATCTGTTGCAGCAATACTCCACACACAGCACTCACAAAGGCCAACATCAGCTTGTTTAGGCTAATACAGTAAAAACTGATAACCTCTTCTCGTTATGTTTTATAAACGACATTATGATATATTTTTGCCACCTTCTGTATTGAATTGTTAAGACACGCTACATTCAGCTGTTAAAACTGGTCTTTTCCAAACAAGTCAACATAGTCCGACCTCCTACATGACCTGACCTTAGATGTAGCAGTTTTATAAATTAAAGCTCATAGCATAAGCTGGGTGCTGCTTGTTATGTTTTTGGAGGACAGAAGCACTGTACCTGCATGTGACACTAGAACATGGTAGAGACTCTGAGCATAGTTTATTTATTACATAACTATTTTTGATACCAACATCTGTATATCGGTGTGGTGGACACCCTTTTGAGATTTACTCGCAGAAAAGAAAATATATCCATATGTGGCACTTGGCAGGTGTTACTTTCAGACCCTGCAGACAGTACAGACACAAATACATACGGACGTACAAACAGTACAGGCAGAGCTACAATATAAGTGTGTTAGTTCATTGTTGTCTGCTTAAACCTGTTATGTTTGAAATATTTAGAAAAATTGTCTAAGTAGGTGGTTGTTTTATTGGCAACACACCGAAGCAGGCAGAACATTACAAACTGTAAAATGTCACACAGTGGGAGGGGCTAATGTTTACCTCACCTCAGGAGGGACATGAGTTAACGATCGAACCAGGTTAGAGAACACCTGGGAGTTGCTCACCTGGTTTTGAAATCAAAAACCATGTGACATGTGGGTCCTGGGACTTCTGTCATACAGCACACTAAAGACTTTCTTCAGGACTCTCCAGGATCTGAGCTTCTGCGTGTGTTTAGGAGCACTAAGATCTGTGGTATTTATACTGAGCCCTGACCTGGTTTTGTACTGGTTCTGTGTGTGTCTGTGTGTATTTGGTGTGTGGTGTACCAGAGGTCTGGTTCCCAGGCTGGAGCTTCGCAGAGTTTCCAGCTCCTCCGTCATCTTAGTGGCCAGAGCCTGCAGGTAGCCTCGAGCGTCCTTCTCGTCGCTGACCCTGAACACAGCAGGCACAGCAGCGTTAAACGCATAGCAGCTCGAGGTGGCCGAGCACTGAGCCACTGGTCTGATGGGTGACTCACCACTGGATGATCTCTGCGATCTGAGCCTCCCAGTGAGCCACGCTCTCCTTCTTAGACGACAGATCCTGGAGGTCGTCCTCCAGCTGCCGATTCTGAGCTGTCAGGTTGTCCACAAACGTGCACAACTGGAGAGGACAGGGACAACCAGAACAAGACAGTATTACACAGTAGTAAGAGTACTGTAGCAGTACTACAAATGACAGATGCACTAACAGTACTACAGCAGTAGTATTACTGCAGTATTTAGTCACCCTGTCTGTCTCTGCTGTCAGTTTGCGGTTTTCTTCTGTCAGCAGGTTTTTCTCTCTTTCATGTTTCTCCTTCAGAGCAGCAACAGATTCATCCATCTCTGTCTGCCTGCATGGGGGCACACAAACACCTGGTTCAGGACTCTCCTGTGCCTGTATGTAAAACTGGTTAAAGACTGACCTTTGCCTGCTTGTAAACCTGGTTCAGAACTCACCTGTCCTTCTTGGCCTTGTCCAGCTTGTCTCGGAGCTGCAGCAGCTCCTTGTTGGCAGCGAGCTGCGCCCCCTCGGACTCCTGCAGGTCTTTGCGGAGGTTCTTCATCTCAGAGGAGTGGGCTGAGTCCCTCCTCAGCAGCTCCTCCTCGTAGAACAGGACCTTTTTATCAAGTTCTGCCTTCACACGGGACAGCTCCTGCTGAGACTCTGCCCCTCCTGCTGCCGCTCCTCGGCCCTGCTGAGACTGGGACCAGAACCACAACTATGATGACCTTCTTCTCACTGGATGCTGCTGAGCCTCTCAGAGAATTTCCCTGCAACAGAACCTCAGAGCTCTTTTATAAAAAATAAAAAAAACTCAGAAAAATTCATTGTTCTGAACCTGAGTGCAAACATTGCCACTGATTCTACAGCCCCATCAAGGTATTATTATTTATTGTTTTTATTTTTATTTATTTAATTGTTTTATTTTTTATTCTTTTATTTTTTACATTCAGCCTTAAAAAAGCCATTTTCAACTGGCCATTCAATAAATAGGTTGCACAAGTAAAATCTTCAGTCAAATGTCATTTGTTTACGTCGCTATGGCTCCCAGAGAGCCTGCTGCCCCCGCTGCTGGAAAACATCCTGGAGGAAACACTGCATCTGGTACAGTCCGGTTCAATTAGTGTTAGTTTTGGTTCAGTCTGGTACAGTTTTGGTTTAGTTTGGTTCTCATGAATTACGTGAACATATGAGGGGCACACAGCACAACGTCTAAAGTCACATTCATTTATTCATCCTTCCGTTGATTTATCGAGTTCAGTGCAGGAGGAGAGTGTGAGTCTGTGCGACCTCTGACCTTTAGGCTCTGCAGCTCCGTCTCCAGCTGTTTGGAGTAAACCTCGCTGTGCTCCCTCAGCTTCCTCTCCTTCGACGCCTCTGCCTTTGCCTCGTCCAGCTGAGCCTCCAGCTGATAGACACACATACAAATCTCTTATTGTGAAGAGCACTTTGACAGACTGCTTCTTTTAACCTTGAGACAGACCAGCAGCAGAGCTGGTTTACATGGTGTTTTGTCTTTTTTATGATTCACTAGAAGCTCAGTTAATAAAATACTGAAGCGAGCATTTGCCTTTTCCAATGCAACAAGCAGGAAATAGCAGACATTTTTTTCATGCTGACATAAACTGCACGATATCGTGGTGCAGTTGTTACCACTAGCACTCTAAGTCTGAACTAACAAAGTTATTGTGTTTGTCATCTATAAAAGAAGCATAAAAAACGTTAAAAATTAATAACTAGTTAAAGAATAGTTGTCTGGTCTTCACATAAAAGTGTCTTGAATGAGGAGATTAAGTTGTTCTGCTGATCTGATGGAGTCTACTGCCCTCTGGTGGTCATTAGAAGAACATTCAGCAGATAAATGCTGTTTCCCATTATAGGACGACAGTAATTTGACTAATACTAATTCTCCTCAAGATCTCATTAAACAGCAAACTAAAGCTCTCTGCTGATGAAGACTGTGACGCATGGATGAAAGCTCTTTCTTCTACATGTACTCCTCTGCAATTAGTTCACACAGCTCAAATGGCTCATGCAACTAAAAACTCCAAAAATAAGTCATTGGATGCTGCTGAGTTCTCATTATGTTTGTTTCCTTTCTAATAATTTATATTCCAGCATATTCAGTGAGGCTCACTTACTAGCTCTTTCTATCTTGCTGTCAGTTTTGTGCTAGGGTTTTCTTTTTGCACAGAAACAAAATATTCTTATTTAACAGAATGGTTTAATGAACAAACTCAAATGTTCTTGGAAAGCAAATTGAAGAGGCCTGTGATGTTTGTCTAAGAGCCCTGAAAACAGCCTTGAGTTGAAATTGTGCTGAAGACTGTATGAAGTCTAAAGGAGACTTAATAGAAAAGATAATTGTACATGGGTACAAGTATTATCTAGCACTACTGCTGCTGTGTTTACTATTACTACAACTGTTAGTACAGCTGCGTAACGCTGTTAGAAATGTGAGAATCACCTCCTTGCGGGTCTTCTCAGTCTTGCGGATCTCCTGCCTCATGGCATCCATCTTCTGCAGGAGCGTGTCCATCTCCTCCTCTTTGTCTCGGAGCTGACGTGACAGACGTTGCTTGGAGGAGCGGAGTTCGGCCATCCTCTCCGACAGCTCAGAGAACTCCTGCAGGGCCAGCTTCCTCTGAGAGTGCGCCTCCTTCAGCTCCTTCGTCTGACTCCTCAGACGCTCCAGAGAGTCCGCCAGCTGCTGCTCAGGGGAGGAGGAGGGTTGTCAGTGTGTGTGATCAGTTAACATAGAGTGGGCACAAAGAGTGTGCTGTAATCTCAATAAACTAAATTTACTGTACTGTTTCTAGCAGAGAACTTTTTTTTTTTTTTTTTTTTATAACAAAAATGTGTGTAACTGTTTAATTTGCCATCAATTTAACAGTTAATGAGCAGAGCAGTGTTGTTAAAAAATAACAAAAAGAACCAATAAGAGCGCTGTTAAAGTATAAGATCGTTCAGCAGCAATAGTAAAGGTAGTAATACCGTTAAAATCTTAATGATACCCATCTGTAGCCTTCACACTGACTTAAATAAATTATGCAAACATGGGTAAATGATTTAAGGTAACCAGTAGCCAGCTGATTGTTTAGCAATAAGTGTGTTTATAAATCCAAACTGTAATTGGTCAGATCATCATCTGGATTGTTTTAAAAGTTTCAAAGCACTCAGAACAGGGCAGATTTATTGAGATGGGTGTTGCAGGAAAACTATGTTGCTTCATTTTTTCTCTTTCTTTAACTACATGCTAGTGTTAACAGGGGTGGGAGACGTTCTCCAAACATTTCTTAAACTAAAACTACTGATAAATACAGTAAAAAAATAAAAAAAAAAAAACTCAAGAGAAAAAGAAAAGAGAGAAAACAAAGCAATGTTAATGCTGCTCGTAATTTGTTTCATTTTTACCAGATTGATAAGCAATACTAATAAGTACATTCGTACCACTGAAATCTTTCCGTTACTCATTCCTGGTACTGTATATAGTGTTTGTCAGTGTTTGTACTGTGTAGTGGTGTGCACTTGGACTTAACGATTCGGGGAAAACATCTAACTGAGATATTTCTGACAGACATTGTGATTTTGTCTGTTTAACATAATTTTTTTTTTTTTTAAAGGTGGCTCTTCAGTTCAGTATTTACTGTGTAAAAGATTTAAAACATGTCACAGGGTATTACTGCATCAAATCCTGACTGTCACACCAGTATGGCATTAATGTGTAAACTCACTGACATGACAGTTTAAAACCCCGGCTCATATGTGCTGCATAACATATAATCTAAACTGCAGCATTTGAATTTTTCTGATCATATTGAAATCGATTTACTGCTCAGTTCAAGTGTGCAGTGTTATTATTTACCTTGTGGACATCATCCTTCTCCTGCCTCAGGGTCTTCACCTGCTTCTCCAGAGTCTTCAGTTTGGAGGCGGAGCTCTCGTAGTCCTGTCTCAGTGTGACCGCCTCCTCCAGCTGATGCTCCAGCCTGTCAGAGTCTATCACATCACAGGGGCGGGTTTTACAAATGTGAAACAGGCTCACGTCGATGGTGACCAACAGGACATGTGATGTAGGCGCAACATGCTAACCATGCTAAGATGCTAAGCGGAAGGATCGCCGCTTTCTGCCGGCATCACCATGAGGTCATCAGTTAAATGGTTTTGTGGTTCACTGTCCGTACAATGTGCTACACTTAAAAAACACTAAAAACTATGAGTGCTGATGGCTCTCATACCGCTACTGATGCTAAACCACCAACTACAGCCTAATACAGCCATTTCTGCAAGTATTGTCGCTGGTACTAAATCTGGTAGTACTATTACAGTTATGTTACTATCACTGCAGCTACTGACAGTGGTTGTTTTACTTGTACAGCTGCTGCTAACGTAATGAACATTACAGGGGCATTACCGCTAATCAAGACTGCTACCACTTTTACAAGTGCAACTACTATTATTACCAGTACTTCGTTCTGCTACTGTTACTAAAACTACTACTGCTGCTGCTTCTTCTTCTGCTACTAGTGCTGACGGTAGTAAAACTGCAACTGCTACTGTTAATGTTTCTACTGAAACAGGTACTAGAAATACAATATCTAGAAAACTGTGCTTAAAAACAACTGTGATTCGGGCTGTTACAGTTAGAGTAACTCCTCCTCCCCTTCTGACCTGCCAGTTTCTTCTTGAGCCGCTCAATCTCCTCGTTTAGCTTCTTGATCTCTTTGTCTCGAGTCAGAGTTCCTCCTCGAGCCGGAGCCTGCAGAGCCTGAGTTGATTCTGCAGTCACAGACACATACTGATGTCAAGAGTACTGCAGGAGTACCACATTTCCTGCAGTGAACACTGAAATTACATTTGAAACTAATTGTTGGGTTCAAACAAAGCATTTAACAGAGCAAGTCTTTCTCACCCTGCAGTTTGCGGTTCAGTTCTTGTTTCTCCTGCTCCAGTCGGCGGATCCTCCTCTCGAACGCCTCCACGTCCTGCCCTCCATCACCTCCTCCTTCTCCGTCCACCTCCTGCCGGACTCCCAGCCCTGCTCGGCTGACAGAGTTGCAGTCAGAGAAGCAGCTGTCGGTGGTGAAGGTGAAGCCGACAAAGGGGAGGTGCTGACCAGTGAACCCAGTGTGAGACACTGGAGGTCCGATGTCCTGCAGGAAAGACACTGTCAGACTGGAGGACCAGCAGGAACCATCTTTAATCTGTTAGTGCGCTCATACTTTAGGCACATGGGAGGTCATCAGGTCATTAAAGTCTAAAAGGTCGGGACAAAGTGAAGCCTGAAAGATTGGATTAAGGGACGGAGACTGACTGACTCTAAAGACTACTGAGACATGACACTGACAGGTTAGGAATAGGGACACTAGTACATGTGGATTTATAATGGCATTGTGTTATGTTTTCTCTTCCTGGTTTGCTCCTCACTGGGTTCTTTAGGACATCATCGTCCACATCAAAGTTGGAGGTGTCGGTGGGTGATGACACATCTGGGATGTAGGGGGCCTCTGCAGACCGGATGTTTTCCCAGTCGATCCCACTAAAGAACGGGTGGCTCTTGAAGTCTGAGATCCCGTTCAAACCGAGCCGACGTTCCCTCGAGCAAAGCAAGCGCTGGATCAGATCCTTGGCATCTTCGGACACATCAGTCACATGGGAGGGGAACTGGAAACGGTCCTGGAAAACACCAGAAAATAAACACTGTGAGGCTTTTAGACAGGGGAGAGAGGGAGGATGGATGGAGATACAGAAAGAGAGAAAGTGAAAGAGAGAGGGAGAGAGAGAGACTGGCAGAGCGATAATAAGACTGAAATGGAGAGCAGGACGAGGCGTCTGTCCACTGAGGGACATGTTCAGATTTAGAAAAGAAGAAGTAGGACAAGAGTCTGGAGACAAACACATAACCTGGAAACAGCAGCAGAGGACAAGCTGAACATGAACCAACACTTCAGGAAGCGTGGGATTAATCTGAATATTCCTACAGGTCTGCATGATTACTCTCTAACAGCTCTACCTGATCATTCTAAAAGCTCTACCTGATTACTTATATAGACAAAAAATCCTCCAGAGAGCAAACAGGGAACAGAACTGTGTGCTCTTGTTGTGTTTCTAACCTCATGGTTCATGATCTTGCCATAGGTTTCCACCAGTGACTCGGCATAAAACGGTGTTTCTCCGTACAGCATCTCGTACATACAGACTCCCAGAGACCACCAGTCGCACTCCGGTCCGTAGCGGCCCATCCCATCCTCCATGGCCTGCAGGATCTCTGGGGAGATGTAGTCTGGAGTACCCACTGCCACTGAAGACTGCACCTGCATCGACAGCACAGGAGGAGTTCTTAAACTTGTCACTGAAGAGATCAGTCAACTACGGTTGACTGAGAAAACTCAGCCCAGACAACTGAAACTAGCTGGCATTAAAGCTACATTGGCTAAGTCTAAAGTGAACTTAACTGAAACTTCCATACACAAACTTATCTCAATATCGAAACCCATTTAACTCTAAAACTCAAGCCAGTTCACACTAAACTGAACCCTGTTAATCACTTCACTGTTAAACCCAGTGAAATGCAAAACTAAATCTGAAACTCAACTTTGAATTAAACCTGGTTTACTTAAAAAAAAACAAAAAAACAATGACCTCAAGTTAACATCAGACAGTATAACTTAAAACCAGTGTTTTGGGTGAGAGAGTGTTACCGTGCCATCTTCCATCATACGGAGACAGGACCCAAAATCTGCGAGGCGAATGTGACCATTGACATCCAGCAGGACATTGTCTGGTTTAATGTCTCTGAAAAAACCAAAACATTAACCCCCCTTTAAAACATTCAAACCATAAACATACTGTAAACTGCTGATGAAGAATATTAGCACACATTGACGGTTTTCATCACAATGAGCCTGTAGATAGCAGCTGATATGACAATCTGCTCTCAAGGTCCACTGATTTACCTGCTCTAAAGCTTTTTACTGTATCCCATGATCTGCTTCAGCAAGACTTTTCAAGACTCTAACATGTCGGCTTGAAGGTGGAGATCAATGGCTAATTCTTAACTAAGAAACAGCTGCAGGATCAAAGTGATGCAGCAGAAATGTCCACAACAAGCCAGTTAGTGAACACTGAGAGAACATACTTCACATGATTTACTAAAGTTGAGAGTAGCTGAGAGTTTGAACAGCCGCAGTCAGCTCCAGTTTAAAGATTAACTGGCTTCAGGAAGGAAGGTGGAGGCTGAGCAGGATGTAACTACATTTCCCAGAGGACACTGCTGCCAGGAAAAACACACTTCCTGTCTCTGTCTCTTACACAGTGCGACAGTGATTTATGCAAAAACAGTCATGTGACTGGCAGAACTTTTTACACCAGCTTCTGTGTTTGTAGTTTCGACGTGCTGCTTTACTGCTGTTACCATGGCAATCAGATGAGCCACGTCACTGTGGATTAGACGCCATGCCTAGCCAAGGTTACTATGGTAGCCAGAGGTCACGCCCAGCAGGGGTTGCAATGATAACCAGAGGCAACGCCCAGCTGAGTTTACATTGCTGCATTGTGTGAGCATCTGTTCACACCAGTATAACCAGTATAAGCAGTACCTGTGGATGTAGTGCTGCTGGTGGATGGAGTGGATGGCCAGCACCATCTCAGCGACGTAGAACTTGGCCATATCTTCAGGAAGGCGGTCCTCAAACTTACTGAGCAGAGTCAGCAGGTCCCCGCCCACGTAGTAATCCATCACCAGGTACTGCAGTACAAGTACACACAAGTACATACGTTACTATCAATGCTATGACAGTGGGCCTGCTGTGGCAGCTCTAGTAGCACTAACCAGGTAGTTGTCGTCCTGGAAGGCATAGTGCAACGTTGTGATCCACTGACTGTCTCCTTTCACCAGGACGTCACGTTCTTCACGGAAGCATGCCGTCTGCACAGAAGAACAACAACATGCTAACATCACAGCAACTTGTCACACACAGCCTGGCGAAGATGATGAAGACGAAGCCCACCTCAGCTCTCTTTAGCATCTCCCACTTATTGAGGATCTTCATGGCGTAAACTCTCTCTGTGTGTTTCATCTTCACCACGGCAACCTGAGCGAGAGAGGGGTGACAAATATTAAAAATGAGACCGACAGGGATGAGACACATCAATACTGTACGGCTTCAAAAGAATCTTTACATGCAGAATTCTGCAGATAGATTTTACACAGAAATAGAAAAACACCAAGAAACGCATGTAGAGCAGAACTATGCAGGTAGTCACTGAAAAGTGAGATTCAAAAGAGACCACTCACATTTTTTAATCATCTATGTCCCTCATATACGCTGGTGCTGAGACCATCTGTCTCCTCTCAGACATACTCTGAGCAGTCTCACGACAACATTGCTTTCTAAACACTGATCAGAAGAAACTAAACTATAATGCAAAGTAAAGAAACCCATTTGAAACACTGGATGAAGCAGCTAAAAGTAGAGTCGAACAATTTAAGGTGCTTAAAAGAAATCAGAAATGAGCAGAGCACCTCTCTGCTGCCGGAGTTAGAAAGCAGAGACAGAATCTGACCAAGTACAGACTCGGTGACCACCAGTCAAACAAGGAAGACACAAAAAAAATCCTGTCAACCCAAAAGAAAACTACATATGTGATCACTGTTGGACAGGCGAGGCTGAGACAGAAACACACCTCCTCCTAGAAAGTTAAACATTCAATGAAATAAGGAACGATTATTTTAAGTCCAAGTCTGTTGTTTTGGATTTCAAAGAGATTAACGATCATTTTGATATAAAACCATTAGGACTGAAGTCTGCTGCAAAGAGATTAATAAAGTTCCAGGTTCTTTGCTGTGGAAGACTGCAGATGTTTGCTGTTTGATTCTTAAATAATGATAATTTATCATTCATGCAACCTGATGTTTTATCTGTTCTTCAAAATCCTAATGTAACAGCATCAATTCAGCAATGAACATCAGTGGGTAAAAATAGTTTTATCAGCATAAAGAAAAGCATCTAATGCGTTTTATTTATTTTAAAAATGAATCAATTATTGATGTTCATGTGGACGACGACTGGTGAAAAGTAATTTTTTTAACATTTGTGCTGCATGAACAGTTCCGCCTCAAGCCGTTCCCCATGTTTACATTTCTAGTTTTTTCCCCCTTCGTGAAATGCAGCGCTCACTCGTCGTGTCAGGACACATTGAGAAATGTAGAGAAAATATGACTGACTTTTGCATGTAATGACTTATACCTGGATGTGTTGGTGTATAAAACTATTCAACAGAACACCAGCACCGTACATTTTGATCAACATGGTTAGCGCTATTGATAATGTAGGAAGCAGCTGACAGGTGTACATAATCATTTGCATAAATATGCCAAAGCATTTGCGATTTGTTCAAAGGAATGAGATATCGCTGTCTGTTCTTTCTTTGATAATGTTTTTAATGCTGTAAAGCACTTTGAGCTGCTATATGTATGAAAAGTGCTATATAAATAAAGTCTGATTTGATTCGTCGTGTTGATGATGTGAAGGTTAAATGTCAGTTCTGATCTGTGAAAATGTGCCAAAATTACTGAGAAAAACTTCTACCAGGCTGTAAACATGTTTATTTCTGCTCTAAAGTTGAGCATTTTAACATGGGGGTCTAAGGGGATTAGTCGCACTCACCAGATGTAGGATTCGGGTATAAGCCTGCCATTTCCGGCATGCATTTCATGCAGCCTTCACCTCCCCTTCCGCTATCCCCTTCTGCTCCGTTTTCAAAATCCCTTTAGCCACGGGAAACAACAACAACCTCCAAGCAGCAACTTTGATGCTGAAAATGGCAAATCTTCCTGAAACTTTGGACCGTGCAGTCACGCAGGTCTGTTTGTTTTTTTTGGTGAATGTTCCACTGCAACAATCTCGATTCATTTCGTCACTATTTTGCTTGAGCAGTGTTGCTGCGTCCTGAGTCTTAGCACCGTCCAAGAAAACAGTGATTGGTATGAAGAAAATCAAACAAGCCAGAGCATTTCTTTCCCCCTCAAACAAAATGATACTGGATGCAGACCATTCACAGTATGTGGAGATAGATCTGCAAGATAACGGGAACTAACTCAAGTAGACATTTAAGAAATAGCAGCTTTTGGCTCTTCTGTGTTGTTTATATTATTCAGCCCCGGAGTTTGCCACTTGTTTCCTTCTTGATTTCAGACTCTTATCTGGTTTATGGTAAAGTCATAATCAGGGTCCATGGACCTGATATTTAGTATTTTGCATTTAATTTTGAAACTGATTCCTGATAACAACACAATAATTTGGTTAATTTAATTTGGTCGCCATCACTGTCCTGCCCACAGCATCATCTGTCTGGTTACACATCAGGAGTAATAGTTGAGCAACACTGAAGGATAAATATGACAGGTTCTTTAATTTACTTGAACATATGTTTAACAAAAGAGAAAAAGACATTTCAGCAAAGTTTTGTGTTGTTCTGGTTTTCTAAAATTTGACACCAAGGTTTTCATTTTCACTGCAAACGTTTATCGGTTCAAAATATTGTTCAGGACTGACGGAGGGTCTAGTTTATGACTTGTCTGTGCGACCTGCCGACTGCAGGATTCTAGTCTACAATGTGGTCTTCATTAAGTGTCAGTTCAGACTGTGTCAATAACAAAAACAACAACACTGTCCATTTAGTTTCAGGTCAGCTTGACTCACACAGGTGTATCCCCTCTGCAGAGTTACCACACTGGTCTCCATGGTGACCAGGTGAGACATGTTACAGATATGTAAGCTGGTATGTGTCAAGAAAACCACCAGCTGAGCTGGTCTGAGCATCCCAGCACAGCCACGCCACAAATACCTGTCTGATCACCACTCCACCCATATGGCTCAGTACCACACCTGGACTGGACCTGGACTCGAATGTAATGAGAGCTGCCTGAGCTGGTCCCTGTGTTTACAGTGTTTCTGTGTGTTTGTGAGGACCAGGCTGAGTCTGACAGTGAGGCCGGTCCTCATAAATACAGCAACACAAACCTGTGTGTGTTTATATCCTGAGGCAGTGGGCAGGTGTGGCTGCGACACACCTTTCCTCTGGTATGTGGACAATGCACACACAGACACACAATAACACACACCCTCTCTGCTGTAAGAAACCCAGCTGGTGAAGAGGAGAGCCTCGTACATGATGTTCAAACCTTCTAAACTACATTACCCACAAGCCCCTGTGATGAGGGAACTTAGGAAGAAGGCATGTGTAGCAGTAAAGTCTATGTCAGGGGTGTCGACATCCGGTCCTCGAGGGCCGCAATCCTGCATGTTTTAGATGTTTCCCTCTTCCAACACACCTGATTCAAATGATCAGGATCGTTATCAGACTTCTGCAGAGCTTGATGATGAGCTGATCATNTGTTGGAAGAGGGAAACATCTAAAACATGCAGGATTGCGGCCCTCGAGGACCGCAGTTCGACACCCCTGGTCTATGTCCTTCTGAGTGAGGATGGATTGTATTCAGAGGAAAGAGAGGATGTTCCGTCTGGACCTCATGTCTTCGCAGAGAAATACAGAACAAACACCGCAGCAGCAAAATACTGGCGGTCATTTAAAACCATTTCTGCATTTTATTTTCTGTCTCAAACCACCAGCTGTGTTGGATTTTTAGCATTCAATAAAGTTTGTAGTTTAAAAAAAAATAAAAAATTGAACAGCTCCAACCGTTGACTTCCAGATGCGTTTTTTTATCTCCACAGCAGTGACATCACATCAGCTCACCTCTCACTTATTCTGGATATTTATTTGATCTTCCATCTCCTGCTACTCAAATCGTTTTGAGTCCTTCGTGTGACGTAGTGTTTCTTTGATGAAGCTCTGAGTCGTTTTCTTGCTGCTCAAACCAAACCTCCTTTTCTCCCAAGTAAAACGCCGCATCAGTGCATTCTGACTTTTTAAGGTTAAGTCTGATTCGTTTACAATTAAAGTTCCACAATAATTTAATACGGAATAAAAAAAGCTTAAATATGTGAAGAATCAACAGCGGAATTTCAGAAACACTGATGAATCTCAGACAAGTTTAATGTGTGGACTTGAACTGCAGCCGTTATCAGACTGACTGAAGGTGAACTGCAGCGGCTGAGTTAATGACTAACAACAGCTAACAGACACACACTGACACACTGAGCAGCCACATTTACATCTACATGTAGGAATAATCTCAAGCAAACCTCCAGATATCAGACAGAGAAACAGCTTTTTTTTTTTTTTACAGTTTTCCCAGTTTTCCTATTTTTAATTATTATCATTTTCTTTCTGTGTTTCACCTCTCCAGTGAAGTTGCAGCTTCGGTGAACATTGAACTTGCATAAAAACAAACTTTTCTGCCCCAGAGAAGGAGAAACTGCCTGAGATAAGGGAGATTTCATTAGATGTCTGGTGTTTGGACCAGAGAAAGTTGAGAATGTGCACAAAAGCGGGTGGAAATGTCGCCAGAGTTCAAGCCATTAATACAATTTGTTTTCGAAATGATGGAACACTAGCGGCTGTTCTGAAAAAATAAAATAAACAACAGTCTGTGGCTGCACTTCACTCTTTTCAATAACCGACAATCTTGTTAATTTTTTGTCCGTATTTTCTGTAAAAGTTTACTAGAACTCGACAGAGGTTTCCTGTGGGCTCTATGAGTTATCTGGTAATCGGAACATAAGGAGAACAGATACTTTGGCACAAAATTGATATAAAACTTCTGAACACATGTTGGTCCGTAGCTTGTTCATACTAATAATTACAGATCATTTTTAATTACCTACTTTTTCATAAAGACCACAAGAAATAAGACCTAATTAGGAATACCACCTCAAATCTATTTATCACTGGAGGGAGATGCCGCAACTGCCTCTGCGCAGCCTATTAAGCATTTTATCAGATGATTTTCTGACTGTACTAACAGGGTTCCCACTCTTTCACTGAAATTATTTTCCAGGACATTTTCATCCGCTACGGACACAAGTCATCGCGTCATACACTAATGCATTCCCCTGTCCCCCTCATTCTTTGGAAGTGTTTTCTACAGTTGTAGCTTGCATTTACCCAGACTGTTTCGATGTTTATAACTCAGACATTTGATGTGCAGTCTATGGCTATAATTTATCTATGAACAATAATTATGACAAATGTATCATAGAATAATGCAAACACACCCACAGATCACAGCATAATAATGAGCATGACCAATTGGAGCTAGAATGTTCAATTGGGCAATTCCCAACTCAGTTTTGTCTTCTCTCTTACTTTCTCTCCTGCACCGAACCTAAAAATATTTGTATAGTTTCAATAAATAACTGAAAAACAATTTCCTTTGTTTCATCTCAGTTTACTGCACAACTTGGCTAGCAGCTAAGCAGTCAGAGGAGCAAGTTCAATATTTGACAAACAAGCTCCTCAAAGAAAGGTCCAAGGCTCTGGAGCTGGACGGGCAAGTCCAGCTTCTAAACAACCAGCGCCACGATGAGAGGCCCAGCGCTCAGGACCTGGATGAGGAAGCTCAATATTTGATCAATGAGCTCCTCGGAGAATGGAGCAAGGCTCAGGAGCAGGACAAACAAGACCAGCTTCTGAACGAACAGCTCCACAACGTGAGGATCAATGCTCAGGAGTTGGATGCAGAAAACCGACCTTTGTAGAAAGTCTGGACTGGAGCGCATGAGCTGGAAAAACAAGTTGAGATACTGAATGAGCAGCTCCAGACAGTGAGGACCAACGCACTGGAGCTGGACGAAAAAGTCAGATCTCTGGACAATAACTTAATCAGAGAAAGGATGACGGCAAATGAGCTGGACGATCAAGTCCAATACTTAAAGAAGAAGCTCCAAAGAGAGCAGAGTAATTCACAAGAACTGGGGGAACAAATACAGTACCTGAAAACAGAGTTTCAAAATGAGAGGAAAAATTAAAAGCAACTGGATGATTGGCTTCACAAAGCAAGAACCGAACATCTCAGGGAGAAAGCCTTCTGGATCAGCCTTAGCAAGGAACTGGAACAAACAAAAAAACAGCTGGCTTACGAGAAGAGCCAGAGATAACTTGTGGAGAAGGACCTGCAGAAGCTAAAACTGACTATCAAAGAAAACACCTCAACAAAGTCTGAGGAAGAAGTCTGTCAAAGCCTTCAGGTAGAAGCTCCGCACGAGAACGTCTTCAAAGATGCTAATGCGTTCCTTGAACCTGCTCAGGCAGAGGAACCGAAGGAAGCTCCACTAGAGGACGAGGTCTTCGAGGATGCAAATGAGTTCCTTGAACCTGTCCAGGCAGAGGAACCCATTGAAAAGGCCCAAGGTCCCCTGAGAAGCGTTCCACTCTGGGCACTAACTTACCATTTCTTCCTTCCTAAGACCGTCGGTTGGATTGGCTATATCATTATCTACCTGTGGCGTTTACTTTCAAGGAAGTAGAAACTAGGGCTGGACCCGAATAGCCGACTATTGGTTCGGTGTGGTTGAATCGGGATATCAAAGTTGATCTCCAAATATCCCCGCCGCAGCGGAAACGGAGCCGTCACCGCTAACGTAAACACAGAAACAGGTCTTTGTAGCCCTGTAGACCCTGTTGCTCCTTGTGGGCTGTAGTTAGTAAAAGCAACGTACATGCAGCAGGCTCTCATGGTACTGGACAATAACAGCAACATGTGCAACTGCAACAATGGGTTCACTGAAACCGAAGGAGAAAACAAAGCAAGAGTCATGTATGGACACGTGCAGCGTTTGAGTCGACGATCAGTGACAAGTTATAGACGACCAAAAGCCAAAACGGCGTCACAGTGCAGGCAGGAAGCTTGTTGTAAGCAGCCAAACATCAGTTCAACAAATCAGCTGCTAATTGTGCAGCGTTTTTCTTCCTCTCTGTCACGTTATATCCTTTATACGTTGACTGTATTGCCACGCATGCTGGACTCCAACAACCACCGCCATGAACAAACGCAGTCCCAAGTGTTATCTTATCTTTGTGAGACCATCCGCTCACATTTCTGCTTCTACCTACTAAAAGTGTCTCAATAAAGGCCGAGCTCCTGCAGGAACCACAGAGGAAGACGTCAGGAAGCCGTGCGTTATAAACAGGAAATGCAGAGTTACGCTGGACTGGATACGCGTCCTGTTAGCGCACAGGGAGCACGGCGGTCAGTCCACTGAGCGACAGGTAACAACACAGGTGAACACACAACTCGCTGATACACAGAATGGCTGCATTACTGCTGCATACTTTGTCTTATTGCTGTCAATACATAATACAGCTGCTTTTTACAAATTACAAACTGTTGTTTGCAGTATGCATAGAACTGGAACATATAATCATAATACTGTACCTTCCACCCATTGCAGTCTGCAGAGTGAAATGAGCCAGCATCCGTCCATGCACTCTCGGCAGCTTTAGCTTGTTTATGCTTGCGTGAGACACATTGACGTATGCGATGTTACCGTATGTAGTTCAGAAAAGCGTGCAACCAGATGTAGTCGGACATCCTGGTATTTTTGGCACAGGCTACGAACTAAATGTGTTTCTTGCGTACTATACCATAAGTAGTACGAGCACTGGAACACACCCACTGACACGCACCGCTGTTAGTTCGATGAAGACTCCCAGCGTCCTGTTAACATCACATCCGCTCCCTGTGCTTGCATGGAATCTGTTTTCAGGAAAACTTCCTGTTTCTACCGAGTGCTGTTTACCGCCAGAGACCCAAGTGAGCAGTGAACTACTGAGGAGGAAGATAAGGAGGAGGAGGAGGTGGACAGAGAGAGAGGGGAGGCCTCCCAGCAGATGGAGACCAGACGAGGTGGTGAGGTCAGACGTCAGGAGGAAGTCTTACCTCTCCAAAAGCTCCTCGTCCGATCACCTTCAGCATCTCGAAGTCGTCTCTGTGCAGCCGCATGTCCTTTACTGTCGTGGTGAACGGTTTCACTGAGGACACACAAAACACATGTTAGACATACAGTATGACAGACATAATCAAAAATAAACAACAATTTTAAATTAACTTTATTCACCTTGTCTGTATTGTTTTTGAATTGATTGAATTACTTACATTTGACTGAACTCTACGCTTTGCCTGTACAGCACTTTGAAAAACCTCTACATACAAAGTGCCATAGAAATAAACTTCTTGCTAGAGCGGCACGATACATTATTTAGAATCATGATGGGTGCAATCACAATAATCACAATGCAGGTAGCGCAAATTGAAGTATCATGTTACACTGAGTTTTTGCTACTTGATATAAAAAGAAAACTCAGACAGCTCTCCTTCTCCATGGCCAACCTACAAGAAAGTCTGACTTGGTTTACTGTGATTTAAGAGTTCTTGGATACATCAAGTTTGTTTTTTGTTGTTTTTTTTTACTTCATCAACAAGACAAAGTTTGTTGACATGCAGGCTCCACATGTGAGCAACACAATGAGCGAGTAACAGGAAAGAAACGTTACAAAGAAAGATGTGGCTGAAAAAATCTGTTGGAAGGAAATATTTTGGCTATAGGAAGCATGACGCTGACCCAAAACAGGTGCTCTGTCAGATAATTGCTGTCATTACATGAGGCAGCATGACTAATTTGTCTGACCACTTAAATCTGCACCACAAAGCTCTGTATGATGAGTGTGAAGCCAGATCGAAACGTCATCAAAGGTGAAAAACTTTTTTAAAAGCCTTTGCCAGTGTTTTGTCGGTGTAATGCCTGATGAAATACCTTTTCACCTTTAAAAGGCACCAGTACCAGTTAGCACCAAAGAAGATCTTAAAAATGTAACCCGGTTGATTGACAAACAGTATATAGCACCATCATGCATCATAGGTCTCAGGTTTCAATTCCAGAGCGGTATGAAAAATGCAAGACACAAGCTGAAACAGCGCTGTCACAACTGTAATATTGTGTTGCAACAACAGACTTGTGGTGCAGACGGACAATGAAGCCCTGCTCAAGTCTTATCGTCTACTTCGTCAACGAAGAGTTCCAACTGTAAAGTCACTGCTCCTCGATGATCACACAAGTAAGAACATCACAACAGAGATGAGCATGTGCTATGTTTTCTGAGATGTTTTTGTCATTTCGGAATTTCCGGTATCATGCAGCCATGAGAACAACAACAACAACAAACACTGACAGCTTATGACAGATGCATGATGACACACAGAAGACACTCATGGTGAGGAGTCGGGGGGCACTAAGACCCTGCAGGATGTAAAGCTTCTCATTCATCTTTTATTCATCTGATCTGGGATCAGTTTTATCTGGGTCACACACACATATTAAAACACACATATATTAAAACACACACGCTGACACTAACACACACACCAATCGAAACCAGAATAGAAACTACATCAGAGCAATTTCGGTTCCTCCTGAGAGGCTGACTGAACTGAACCTGACTGCCTCAACTGCAACCTTAAACAACACCTGCAGATTCCTGGACACCACATGGACCCTCAGAAACCTCGACTGTCTCAGAGGTGGACTTCAGGCTGACAGCTGGTTCAGAACTCCATCAACAATCAGACCGATGTTCTGCTCATATTCATCCTCTAGAGCAGGGGTGGGCAATCCTGGTCCTCCAGCGCCACAATCCTGCATGTTTTAGGTGTGTCTCTCTTCCAGCACACCTGATTCAAATGATCAGCTCATCATCAAGCTCTGCAGAAGCCTGATAATGATCCTGATCATTTGAATCAAGTGTGTTGGAAGAGGGAAACATCTAAAACATGCAGGATTGTGGCCCTGGAGGACCAGGATTGCCCACCCCTGCTCTAGAGCATTTTGAGGGGTTTGTGATGCTGCTCCAAGTCTGCAGGAGGGGCGGGGCTCCGACAGCTTCACACAACAAATCAGTCAGCGTCTGTTTGGATACAGATTCCAGATCTGATCAGATCCAGTCAGATACAGCCGGTTAATGGCAGCAGCGGCAGCCAGCGAAACTGAAATAACATCAAAGGCGATGTCACAGCCACAGACTGTATGAGCCTGAACATTAGACAACCCTGATTATGAGACATTCCAGTCATCATGTTGGAGTGAAACAGTCACAGGGACTTTCAGAAACTCCTGTAGGTTAAACTGGGCCTCATGACATGGTGGCTGCAAATTACCCACAATGCATCACTCTGTGCATAAGACCATTATATTCTGCTACTCTCACCACTCGACCACTGTGTCTACATGTGTCGTCCTCAAATCCATAAAAACCTGCTGGAAGTTTAATAAACCGATTCTGACCCGTGTTTCATGGAAGTGGATGTTAACTCAGTCTGTTTGGATGATTTCCGTTAAACTTCAGTTCAGGTTAGTTGTTGCTGTTGTTTTTGGAGCTATCAGCGATCAATCAATCAATCAATCAGTGGTTTGACCTCGTCAGTCACTGATCAATCAGGGCCAGACTCATGGAGAAACAGTGAGACTGTCGGAGAAACATCAGAAACTCAAACAGCTGCTGTAAGGAGGTCACACCAAACCAGGACAGACTGTGTTTAACAGGAACAGGCTGAACCAGGACAAAGTGGGCCAAACTGGGTCAAACTGGGCCAGTGAGCATCTGCAGCCTCCACACGGAGCGCACACACTCATCTGCACTGTAGACTTGTTGTGAACTTGTCCTTTAAACTCGCCTGGTCTGAGGGTCAAACCTGCAGCTGGACCCTGAACCAAGACCACCGAGGGCTGCTGACCGGGTTCTGGAAACACCTCGACTACTCTGGAAAACCTTCAGCCATGAGAACCCTCAAGACCCCTGGAACTAGATCGGATCCCAGAGTGCTCTTTCAAGAACCACTAACCTTTCAGCAACTTCTCTTAAGGAACCGTGATTCTCTCTGGAGCTCTCCAAAAGTTATTTCAAGCTACATTAAAGCCCTAAAATCACCTCAAACCTCCAGGAAGCTCTGAAATTGAAAAATCCTTAAATCTCTCTCAAAATCCTTTGGAACCCCTGAAACTACTCTTTAACCTCATTGAGTACCCCTGTAACCTCCCTCAATTTCTGAACACTGCTGAAATGTCACTCAAGGGTCCTTGAACCTCCCTTGAGGTCCCTGGAACCCTAAAGGACCATTATTCCTTACTCACAGATGTCTGTGTGATCAACATAATGTTAGTTGTGTGAGGAGTTCTTAGCCTCCTTGAAACCCATTTAAAACCCTGAACCTTCCCCAAGGCCCCCTGAAACAAGAACCATCTCCAGGATCTATGGATCCTCTTTCAAATAGCCCTGAACCCTTCAAGAACCTCCCAAGGACCCTCAAACCTTCCTAAACCTCCACGGAACCTTTTTAGAACCCCTAAACCTTCCTGAAGGGCCCTCAAAGATTCTTAGAACTCCACTTTGTGATGCACGGATCCGATTTCAAGGATCCCTGTTATGAAGCCTTTGGCCTGGAGCCTGTTTCAAGGGCCACTGAATTACCTCGAGACTCCCAAGACCCTCTCAGTGAACCGTAGCCCTCCCTGACACCCCTTAAAGACCCTTAAAGTTCCTTCAAAAACCACATTCCAGGATCCACAGAACTTTGAGCCCCCCTGGAGCTCCCTGAAACCAATTTCAAGGTTTGTCAGCAACCCTGAACTGTCCTGAAACCCCCGTGGAACCACCATACAACCTCTGAACTTCCCTGAAGAACACTCAAGACCTTGCCAGATTCTTCGAACCCCATTCAAGAACCCATGGATCTGGTTTCCAGGACCCCTGGTATAAAGCCTCAGACATTCCAAGAGCCTGTTCCAAGTCTCCAGGAGGGTCTGAGGCTTCCAGGACCACCTCAAAGGACCCTTGAGTCTCCCTGGTGCACCTAACCCAACCCTGGAGCCCCCTCAGTGTCCTCGGGGACACTGCTGAGCGGTTCCCAGACCTTGTGAGTGTGTTTCACGGATCTTAGAGATGGGACCGGGAGCAGGTGTGGCCCAGGACCGGGTCCAGGATCTTACCCCACTCGAGGAACTCTGAGATGTGCTTCTCCCTCTTCAGCGGGCAGTTGGAGCACTCTGTGTAGAAGCAGAGCAGCAGGTCGAGCAGCGTCTCCATGCTCAGGCAGCCCGCCGCCTTCTGCTCCAGCAGCAGCTCCTCCAGCCGCTTCAGGCGGACCTGAGCCGACATCGTGACCCAGGACGATGACCTGCCGCTCCCGCTGAAACACCCACCACAGCCCGCCGCTCAGTCCGAGTGTAAGCCGCCGCCGAGGCTCCGCTTCCTGCCGAGTCGCACTGAGCTCAGCCTGCTAGCAGCAGCAGCTAGCTCGTTAGCTCCGGGAAAACATTCCCGACATTTTGAGCCGCCTGGGTGTCGGTGAGTCGCTGAGTCTCCGCCGGTTACCGTCGCTCCGTCGTGTCGTGAACCGAACAGCCTGCAGGCCCGCGTCTGTCCGCCCTCCGCATCGGCTTTAATCCGGTAAATCTGGACTTTCCTCTCAGAAATCGGGACGTCGCGCAGACCGTCGACTCTCAGGTTGGCCGTCGCTGCTCCATGTCCTCCGGTCGGTGTATCAGCCCGGTAAGAGGTCCAGGAGCTCCGGGACCGACTGGGCTGGACTCAAAATGTCCGTCAGCACCGGGAGGGAGCGCGCCGGGGGATTAGAGGCGGTTTTTGGTGAGTTTGAGGGAGCTGCCGGTGTGGCTGATCAGTGGGAATATGGCTGAATCCAGGTCGGATCATCCAGAGCAAGCTGCAGAGAATAAAGCCCGCTTCCGGTCACACGGAGCTTCACAATAAAACTTTCAGAAACACCCCGTCTGCTCGTGGACTCTGTTTACAACTAATACAAACAGAATAACATTAAAACAGCACGAATTAAAAATAGAAATACGATAATAAACAAATAAAAGACAAATACCTGAAGCACAAACAAATGCAAATAAAATAAAAAGCAGACTAAATAAATAAAAGTAGGATATAAAAAAAATTAGGACAATAAAAACCACCCAGTGATTGACAGCAAATTCAGATGCTGATTTTTTACTTTCATCAGCACTGTGTCTGGGACATTTACACTAAGTTAAATTAAGATTTTTTTTTAGTGTTCAATCAAAAAATAATTTGCAGATTCACTGATAGTGAAGAAAATAATCTTTCGCTTCAGACCTACCAGAATTATTGTCATGAAACTGTGGATTAATCTGACATTTATCAATTAATTTTTTTCATTGTTTCATTGGGAGATTTTCTCAGTCGTTTTGTTTTGTCAACAATTAGCAAATAATATATGTATAGTATAATTTTTATCAATTTTTTTTTAAATTATGGACTGTCTGTTGCAGGAATAAAACTATAAATAAACAAAGAAATATGTAAAATGTAAACTTAGGTTTTCTGATCAAATTAAACATTTATTTAGTGTACTAACATTTGAAATCCCAAACAACTGCTTGATTAATAAAGAAAATTAATCATCTTTTTGTTTGATAATGAAATAATCAAACAATGATTTAAAAATAATTATGTTCATCCATGTTTCAAGAGAAAAGTCTATTAAACCAAAGTCAACTGAAATCATTGCGGATAGAAAGTAAAATACAAAATCTTCAAACTGTTAAGAATATATATATATTTTTTTTAATTATACATACACACACACACACACACACACACACACACACACATATAATATAGAAGGAAAAACATGTTTAGAAATCCAGAGTAGAATAACTAAAAACATAATTTTTTCCAATGTTTCTTTTTCAGTTTTGTGCTTCCTGAACTAAAGCACAAAATTTAAAAAAATGTATATAACTGATTTCAATTAAGTCGATAGCTGCTGAAACATGTCAGAGGAGTTTTATTTCTCTCAGAAAACTCATCTGATGAATTTAGGAGGAATAATGATAATAAATAACTATTTTTATGAGAAATAGTTATATGCTTTATTTGCACAAACACATAATTCATTCTAGCTGGAAATACATTTAAAACATTTGGACAAAAAAAACTATTAAAAGCTGAGGGGCCAACAATGATGTAATTAAAACAGAGAAGAACGATAAGAAAACAGTACAGAATGAATCATCTTAACTGATTTGATTATCTGTGCTTTTATTATGCAGGACGCCGCTGCTCTCCGGGAGGTCACTTCCTGCTGCTGTCCGCTACTTGACGCTCCGTTTTTCCTCAGACTTCAGTCTGACGCTCCCTGAGGAGCACCGAGGCCCCGCCCTCCTGCACCGGAAACGCTCCGGATACATGACGTTATGGCGTGATTGACAGGAGCCGGGAGAGACTGGTACCCCCCCTCCCACCCCCCACTGACATCACCGAGTGACATCACCAAATACATCAGTAAACAAAGAGTGCTATTTGTTTGTTTGTAATTTTTACAGTAAAAAAAAAAAAAAAAATCATTAAGGTCTCCACAGCAGAATTTATTTTATTGAAGTTTTATCGTGCTGTCGTTTTATTGTTTATTATTTTTTATATTATTTTATGTTTTACAATTTCGTTTTTTATCGTGTTTAATTGTATTTTTATTTTGTAATTTTAATTTATTATATGTGTCACTGTCATGTAATTTTTTATTTTATTGTGTTTTTATTTTTAGTTATGGTGTTATTGTATCTCTGTTTTTATTTAAATATTTGATTTATTTTATACTTTGTTGTATTTATATTTTATTTGAATTAATCATGTATTTATTTTATATTTTCTTCTTATTTTAGATTTTATTGCATTTTATTTTCCATTATGTATTTCCGTTTTATTCCATTTTGTTGTAGAATTTATCAGTTTTACTCTATTTTGTATTTTTATTTTTAGTTTCATTGTATTATATTTTTGTTTTGTTGTTTTTAATTTTTATGTTCAGTTTTATTGTATTTTATTTTTAGTTTAATTGTTTATTTTTATTTTACATTTTAGCATATTTTAATTAAAGTTTTACTGCCTGTTTAGTATATTTAAGGATTTGTTTTATTGTGTCAGTGTTTAATTTTAGGTTGTGTTGTATATTATTTAATGTTTTCTTTCGTTTTTTATTTTATTTTAGGTTTAATTGTTTTACAATTTATCTTAATATTTTATTGTATTTTTGTTTGTTTTATATTTTTATTCCAACATTTAATTTTGTTTACATTTTGTTGTATTTTTAAAATTTTGTTTTACGGCATTTTCGTTTATTTTCCATCCTCCTATCTGCCCCTTTATTACACCCTCTTCATGTGTGAGGTTGCAGGGGGGCTGGAGACTATCTCAGATGACACTGAAAGACAGAATACTCTCTGGACAAAAGAAATACCCCTAAATTCTCTGATAGCAGCTTCACATGTAAATGTTTTCTACTTTTGTGGGATGGTAAACTTAACAACACAGGACATTACCTAATGTCAGAAATAATGAGGCGTTTCACTGTTTTCTGACATTTTAAAAACTCAACAGCGCTTCAAAAAAATCAAAGAAATCAGCTGTCAGATGCTTTGTTGAGGATAATTGTTGGCTGCAGCCTCGTAGTTTCTCTCTGATGAAATAAGACAACCAAACAACAACAAAGCAGCTTGACAAAAACAGAATTTCATAGCAAATTACTTCAGTACGAACTAAGATAATTCAGGGGTTTTTTTTCTTACCAAATAGGAACATCACATAAATGTTGTGTGGTAAACCTGGTTAACGTCACATCTTCCTACTACCTGGACTGAACACCAGCTGCTCTGAGGACGACTTTAACCAGGATCAGCTTCTGCAGGAGCAAGTTTTCAGTGCAGGCAGTCCTCAGGGTCTTTGCTCAGTTTCGTCCCAGAAGCTCCTCAACAAACCTTCCCACACACTCAGCAGCACAGAGCTCCACAGCTGGTTTTATTCTCGTCTGCAGTGCCAGTCACAGATGCAACTAATCTGTACATGCACTCAGTGATTCAGCACCGTCTTTCATAAAGCATCGCAGCCTGCTCTCAGACAAACAGTGCATCGACAACTTCACCGTCTGTTTGAGCGAGCACTTAAAATAATGCACTCACTCTCAGCATCATTGCCATATAGTTGAAAAGTATCATCTTTTAACATTCTGTTAATGGCTAATGTTGACTTACTGGGAAAGATTATTCCCAGTCCGGCAGCACAAGCTCTTAAACAGTTTGTAACAACGTTTAGTTTGGCTCGAGGTCAACAGGAGCGTCCACTAGAGGGCAGTGTTTTGCTCAATTTTGTAACATTTGGACAGAACAGATGTTTTACAGGACAGCTGTGAGTTGTTGTTGATGTTGTGTTTGGTTGGAAACTAGTTTTGGCTATATTTTGTTTGTTTTGAGTTATTGTTGTCTTTGTTTTGTTGGTTATTTATTACAACTTGTCTTTTATTTTTCTGTAACCTGCCTATCACTGGTAGCCTCCATCCAGGGTCCACAGATGGATGGATGAATGAATGAATGAATAATCCTACCATGCTCTGATCAGTTAAACACATAAATAAATCTACATTCTCACAGATTTTTTCCACATGTTTAACATACATACAAAAAAAATCTGGTAAATTCAACTTACTGATAATTTTAGAAATGATTTTAAATTATCAGCTTATTTTTCTAAATATAAACCTAAATTTCTTTCCACTGTTCTTTAAAAATAAATCCATTCAGTTTATAGATGGCCATACTTTTTTAACATTTAAGATCTTTCAAATATACAAGATTTTTATGGGAAAAAAAATATATTAAAAAAATAATAATCACACCTGATAAGATCTAAAGTCACCAAGAATTAATATTTTGACATTATTTTTTACAAAACATAAAATTAGATTAGATAATGATAAAAACATTATCATTATTATTATTGTTGTTGTTGTTGTTGTAACCCTAATTATTGGTATTGAAGCATAATTTATGGCATCATTTGTATACATGTAAACAAAAACCATGAAAAAGTAAATAAAACAAACTGTAACATTAAGGCCAGAAACTGTAGTTTTATGAGGTTGTTTTTGGTTTTTTTTGTATTATTTTCTTGTCATTTTTGGTTCTCCACTTAATAGAATATTACCTTGTTTTTGTTTGTTTGTTTGTTTGGTTGGTTGTTTGGTTGCATGGTGTTTTTTTTTACTCCTCTTTCTTTTCATGTTTACCTTTTCTTTACAGTGCATGTTAAACTCAGCATCACTGTGAATCATCGAGGCTAATTCAGACTCCTGCTCACAAACAAAGCTGCAAAAATGCATTGATTTGCAACAGTTCCCCTTTTATTGTTTTACAACATTGAACTGTGGTCGAGAATTCAAAGTTAAATAACTAGAAATATAAAACATGAAATAAGGGTCTGCATAAGCATTCACCCCCTTTGAGTCAGTATTTTGTTGATGCACCTTTGAACATAACTGCAGCATTAAACCTGTGTGGATACGTTTCAGTCAGCTTTACACATATGGTAGCTGCACGGGGGTTATGAATCAACAGCCCTTTTAAATCCAGCTACAAATTCTCATTTTGATTGTAATCTGGACTCCAAAACATCTCCTGTGTTCTCTTTAAACCATTTCTGTGTAGTTTTGTCTGTGTGCTTCAGCTCATTGTTAGCTGGAAAACAAATCTTCTCCTAAGTTGCGGTTCTCTTGCAGACTGCATCAGGTTGACCTCCAGGAGTTCTCTAGACTTGCCTGCATTTATTATACCCTCTACCTTTACAGGTCTTCCAGGACCTGCTGCCA